CCCTTCCCATGGAGAACAGAGCTATGGGAAGCCGAAAATGCATCTGCCTTCAGTCGCATCGCTGCAACTGATGGAGCCAAGCTCCCAATGCCTTCCGTAAGGGAAGCAATCCGGCTGTTACTCGATAATTCCGAGCCCGGGCCCTTACCGTCCAGCCTTCCCCTTTCTGCAGAGCATCTATTGATCATGATATACGGTATGTCCCACAACCCCGGGTCCTTCATCAACTAGCTAAAGACATAACCGCAGCATTGAATTCCCTTGCATTCCTAGCCAGAACGGACTTCTTCGGCTCTGTGCCATTGAAGAAAATAAAACCTGCCGCCAACAAATGGAAACAGATCTGGAACTCGGTATACCAGGACACAAACAACGATCAGATGCTCCTACTGGGGTACCCCAAACACGCAGAAGAGCTTTGGCTCCTATTGACAACGATGCTTAACATCGCCACCGAGAATTCCACGAAGCTCCCGTACCTGGACAACGCCGCGACAGATGATTTGGGAAAGCTGAACGAATTCATTCAATGGTGCTGTAGGGATACATGATACACGTCTTGATTATTAGATTAAAATGCTAAAAATACATTAATGCCCCTCTCTTCAATCCTTCTTGAGAGCCTGAGCCTTGCGATTCTCATTCTGTATGAATCCGTCTTCTTTCGGCTTGCGGTATGTCCCGTTCAACCTATCCCAGAATGTCAAGAATTGACCATAATTATAGTTGAAGTACAGATGATGCATGGTATGACATGCTGCACCGTTGACAACCACAGATTGCGAAAGATACTCGGCATCATCTACAACAATTAGCCCCTACCCCCTCATTTCCCATGACACAACACAATAAACCGGGGGGGGGGGAAGAGAAAAACTCACGAATAAAAACCGTCCACATAGTCACGAAGACAAAAAGCCCCAAATACGCACTCTTCTGCAACGGAAACAGCAACGGATACACATGATACGGGATACTCTGCGACCAGCCATCAACCGGATGAAACGCATAGCTAGCAAACGGACTCGGCATAATCCATTTATGATGCGGCTTGTGCAACCACCGGTACACAGGCGGGTAATGCAATCCCCGATGAATCCAGTAAATGCCACAGTCCGTGAAACATACGAACAGCGGATACTGCAGCCAGTTGTAGGCGCGGAAGGGGGCTTCATCGGCGAAGTCGTACAGTTTCGTCCAGCCGCGTACCTCTGCGAGAAAGAACGGGGCCGTGAGCACGGCGATTACGGGGATGGACGTTATGCCTTGACGGATCTCTTGGCGGATTTGGTGAGGGAGGAAGTGTGGGTGTCGCATTACACGCTTGTCGAAGAGTGTGTGGTAGATTAGTGTGCTGCCGATTAGGTACAAGGCCGTTGCGAAGATCCTGTGGATATTTAGAATTGGGTTTGTTGGCCCGGGGAAGGGGAGGAGGGGGGGGGGGGTTGTTTTTGCTAAGTCGTGAGATACGTACCATCCAATTAAGAATAGGGACGTGGTCTGCCGGGCGATATCATCTCGCTTCCATCTGCTGCTGTCTGCATATGGAGACGGTGGCAGTGGGTAATAGAGGTTGATGTGTTTGTTGTATGTTCCTGCAGGTGCCGGAACAGGATTCGTCGCTGGTAACACTGATGCATATAATCTGTCGAACACGAATGTGTCGAGGATGTCGAGAAGCACATCCATGGTGAACTAATTACAAAATTGTCACGAATATAATACACAAAAAAGGAAAAGAGAAAAACAAAAGAAGAGTTTAATATCGAAAAAAGATTGAAACAATCAAACGATGCAACTCCCTTCTTATATTGGGAAATACCTACATGATCCATTGTTAGGGTTTGGCGATTTTACCTACATGAGTTGATTTAATTCCCTACCGCGGAGAATACCTACCGTGGGGATTACCCACACACGGGCAATACCTACCAAATGCCCCCTTAACTTACGCGCTCGGCACTCCGGGGTCGTACGATATTTGAAACTCGGAATATAGATTGTTATTGTTAGTATATATAAAAAAAAATAAAATAAAACACATCGGATGTTCGGGTTACGCATGTATGGAATCAGGTGAGAGGACGTAGCATCGGTAAGTATAATTGCTAGCTACCCTGGACAACACTACATATACACATTGTTCTCCTCCCTTCGACCTACCACTGTTCTAGAATTATGAATTTGAATACAGCCTACGGACAGGAGTGAAAAAAAAAAAAAAAGAAAAGAAAAAAAAAAGAATACTAAGGTAGGTATAGTATAAGCAGGGATGTTGTGAGGTGAGCGAATCACATGACAGGATTTCCCAACAACGCTTTTTGCCTTATATCCACATCTCACGTAAACAAAGCAAAATGTGAAAAAAAGAAAAAGGGGGGATGTTAGAAATAAAATCAGAAGCAATCAGAAGCAAAAGTGAATCAACCACTCAGGATTGGTAACTTCTACTACCTCCCCCAGACTAAATCCCCCCTCTCAGCAACCGTCCTTCGACACTTGTCCAAAATGGCAGCCTGCCTCGCCACCTCCGCCAAACCACCCAGGACCTTCCGATTCCCACCCACGAACCCATAAAGCGCATACGGGATACCCACATCCCGACAAAACTCCATAACCAATGCCTGCGCCCTGCGCAGATTATGCCGCGGCACGCGTGGGTACAGATGGTGGATAGCCTGGAACTGCAGTCCGCCGTGGACCCAGTCCAGCCAGGGCGGACAGTCGACGTCCATGGTTGTGCGGAGCATTCTCTGGGCGAAGGACTCGTTTGGTCCCAGGTCGGTGGTTGACATTGCGAAGTGGGAGACGGTGAATTGGACGTGGAGGGGCATTGTGGCCATGTGGCTGATTAAGACGAAGGAGATGCGGGCCAGTGGCGTTGGGATGGATTTGTAGAGTATGCCGTAGCCGAACCAGAGCCAGAAGATGAGATTTCCACAGATCTCGAACCAGCGGTGCCATTTGGCGGGGCCCTTACGGGGCCCTTGGGCTTTGAGGAGAAAGAGCCAGGATTGGACGTAGAGATTAAAGCGGCCGAAGAGAAGGATGATGTAGTAGAGGTAGGCTTGGAAAGGGACGAGTGCTTGGGCGACCTTGTCATAAGCCAGGAGTCGTTCGTGGTAGGTAGAGAAGATGTTGCCGAGGAAGCGGTGGTTGACGGCCAGGAAAGGGAGGTGTTGATTGTCAGGATCGTGTTCAGGCGCGTTGGTTACGATGTGATGGACGTTGTGGCTGCGTTTCCACCAACCTAGGGAGAGGCCACCGATGGGTGCGGCGATCGTCATCCCGATTAAACTGTCAATCGTATAGTTCTGAGTGATTCCGATATGACCGGCGTCGTGGGCGGCGAAGACCATTTGGGACCAGAACCAGGCTAGGAAGAGCGCACTTGTGTTGTACCAGCCTATGCGCAGGAAGAAAAGCATGGTCCCGAATAGGACGGAGCAGCGGGCGAATTCCCAGGCGTAGGCTGTGTAGTGGCAGTTGTAGAGGCCTTCGTTGTGGATTTGCTTGTGCAGCAGTCGGTATTTGGCAATGATTTCGTCCTGAGTTGCAGAGTCCAGAGGTGGGTATTTGGATAGGGTGAGTTTGATCTCTTCTTTGGTTTGCGTGTCGAGAAAGGTCATTCCGTCTTGAGGAGCCATATTCTCCGTTGGCTTAGGCTGGCTGTGTCGTTTGTGCATGCCTGCATCTGCAGTGGGAGCTTTGAGCCCAGTTGAGGAAGTATCTTGCTGTTCCTTGACTAAGACAGTCGATTCATCATCATCTTCTTCTTCTCCATCGTCCGACCGAAAAACTCCCCCTTGAATTGGCGGCACGAAATTCGTCCATCTTCCGTCAATCCGCCCAATTTGATACCTCCCAATCATCTGTCGCGTCTCATCACAGTGAAATCTACAGGTTGTCAGCATCGAGCCGAGAAGCTTACTCGCGTTCAAGCAGGAAAGTGACTTCAGCGACTAACATAGTAAACTCATCCGTCGCATCCTTTCCAACAACATGCTGGATGACCTTCTGTCCGCCAGGATGATACGGAATCCAGGCATCAACACGAAATACCTTCTGGTTCACAATAATAATCGATTGACCCTGTGCAATTAGGGCTTCAATCTGTCTACGTGAGAGGATCGTGTCTTTGGTAGATTGTTGCATGATTCAATGCAGCGGCATTGATTGGTATATGGGAGAGGGTTTTGTACCACGGTTCGTACGTCAGGTTAAGCTTGGTTGGGTCTCCGGGCCGAGTGAGAAATATGGCGGACTAAATCTAGCTTACGGACAAAATTAAAATATTACCAACTTGATACATTCCTTTCGGGGCCGGAGTCCGGATTATTTTCGGAGATTAAGTTTCATGTCGTAAGATGGCGGTGTTGGTGTTCTTGTTTATGGGGTTAGTAAAGCAAAGTTATTCTTTAGCGCATCTTATATGTGAGATTCGATTAAAAATACCCAGATAAGTCGACTTTCAATAATTCTCACTACAGTACTGGCCGTGGATGTGGGTGGAACACTTACTCCAAGCCCTTTGATAACGTCGAATTTACAACTGAAACGGTGGATGGGTTAAACTTATGTGGCCGACTAGCAGGTTTTAGCTTATTGCAACACGATAGCTGGGGATTTGATCTCACTTGTCTTCACATCCTGCCGTGCAACCATCGAGTAAAAGACATCGACGATATATCTTTCTTAACTCCCTTACATTTCTCGGACTTTGTTAGGAGTGAGGCATTGAATCTTACCCGTCGAAACAAATTATGAAGCAAATAAGCTAGTGTTTCATGATAGCATTACGTCATATTTTTTTTTATTTTTTTTTAATGGATATGCATACGTCAAAAGGCTCCCAATTTGTGCGGTATCACAAAATAGACATGTACATGAGCTCTGCGACAAATACAACAAATGAATATAGGATATATGTTATGTAATTAGGAAGTGTGGGGATAAACTCCAAAAGATATCATCGCCTGGCAAGTAGGATACTAAATATATAACTGTATAAAATCACTGGTAATCATGTTCACTGCTATTAGTCGCTACGTTCGAGATATATAAGGAATTGCTAGATGAACAAGGCGTGATTATGCGACACTCCCTTCCGCGAGCACACATTGTTCGCTTTAACCAATCTTACATCCAATCCTAAGAATTCAAATCTACGACTATTGCGAAGAACAGTTTACAAAACTTAGAACATTCACACGGTGAAGTCATCTATGGTGAAAACCACAATTTTTGCCTCAATTAGTATCATTTAACTAGGCGTTAAGTATCGTTGTGGAGCCCTTGCGCTTGATAGAAACGAGGTGGACCTCGCTATTGAATGAAGTCAGCGTCAGTTCCCTGAAACAAGAGCATCGGGTAGATGAGAGGCTTACAAGAGGAGGGTAGAGTTGCCGGGGATCAAACCGGGAAAACCCCTATTTTTGTTAGTATACCTACACATACAGGGAACAGGACATCGAATTGGTCCCGTTGATAAATAGAGAAAAGGGTGGTAACATACTGAGCTCCATAGCCGTAGTCCCTGTGCCGATGGTTAGTAAGCAACATTAGATAACGATAGCTAAGAGACTGCATGACATCATAGACTGATATGGGGCATGACAGCAAATACTCACGGAGTGATGGTCAACAAAGCCTTCTCTCCCAGACTCATCTGAGGAACACCCTCATCCCAACCTACCAAATAGGGTTAGCAACTACGTAGTATATCAAGGGGGAAGGCAGGCAAACCTTTGATCAAACGTCCAACGCCAATAGTCGCCTTCAACGGCTGATCCCTGTCATAGGAGCTATCGAACCTGTTGCGCCTATTAGTCCTTGTCGACTACGTCCCTCCAGGAGAGGAATTCAACATACTGTTTTCCCTTGCCCTCAGGCTGGCTGGGGTCGTACACCCATCCGGTATAGTGCATGGCGATTTCATCTTCCACTTTGGGGATGTCGGCACCGTTACCATGTGCGAGAATGTGCTTGGTGACGCCCATTTTGAGATGCTGTGATCGGATGATCAATAGAAGAGATAATGAGGGGAAGAGGGGAAGAGGGGAAGAATAGAAAGAGTCCAGGGGAACAGGAGGCGAGGAAAGAGGAGGAAAGAGGGGCAATTTTTATAATCGCGAAGTGGGGCTTCGGTCCCTGGATTGTGTATCGCGCCGGTATTCAACGCGTTATTTTCGTTTAGGGTACGGGTCTTCTCGGTAAACGTTGTGTATTCCCCAACGTTCCTCTTTTGTTTTGGGGGCGTTTGATATAGTTGGGAGACTGATTGACCAGGCGGCGTTTTAGCCTTTCCACGGGTATTGATCAGGCTGCTTTTGTTTGGAGGATCTCATATTGAGTTTATGTTCTCATTTTCTGTGGGAATCGCGCCTCTCTTTTTTCTTGGCACGATTTCAGCAAGTTTTCCTGACGAATTATTGAAGAAAAGAAAGGAAAAGATCTACATTTGCGGTATGAGTCGCATGAGACATGCTAGAGCTTCTAGATAAATAGCAAGTTGGTTCATATTACTATTGTACACGGTGGTATATGATTAGTCGCAGGATCATCTTCATTCTTAGCTAACATAGTACCTTGGAATATATATATATACACCCTGACAGACTTATCTTATATTTAACATTGTCACCGATATCAATATCCAAACTTTTTCTCCTACAAAGCTTTGAACTATGTAAAGAGCTTCTAAGTGGCATATTAAGGAAGAGCCAATCAGAATGATTGCTAACCTTGTGGATGAAGCGGACAACCTTCTGTATCTGACAAACTGCAGTAGATTGATCCCTAGGTGATTATTCTACCTACTAATAATGTCAGAAGATCCACTCTGTTAAGCCCCCAACAGCTTGACATCTCCCAGGCGAGGTATATATAATAGCGCTCAACGTACCCCAGGAATCCTACCCGTGACAAACCTTGTATTAGTAGTGGAGGTTTATTACTGATCACACTTGACGGCCTTATCTCTAAGGTGATATTCCTTTAGCTCTTGAAAACAAGAAGAGGTCCTCTGGAGGTAATATGGAAAGCTTCCCATTTCCAGAAATATGGCCTCAATTCTCGAATTCAACTCCAAGGCTAAACCTCGCTGTGCTCGCCTTTGTCGGCTTCCTGCGCAGTGATGATACATGGGCGCATGTTGGGCTATTACTTTCACCAGCTCCAGGCCTTGCCTAGGAGGCCGGACTGTTGGTATTCACGGCATACAGGTATGAGGCGGCGGGGAAGGAAAAAGGGAGGTGGGAAAATATATAGTCCATTTTATTGCCAATTTTAATGCCTGCGAGCTAAGAGGCAATTACATCATGGCCGAGCTTAGCTATTGCTATATCTCCGGGAAATTGACTGATGTTGGTGAAGCTGAATGCAGCCCTACATGGTAGTGGGTATCCTTCCCTCTAGCCCCGACTCGATCAGTACTCGCAGTGTGACTCACGTTGTCTACCGTGGCTATGGAGAGATATATGAATGCGTGATCCCGGCTGGAATGGTAGTATTGGGTAATAACACAATTACACTTACTGTTGCATCGGGCCACAGTGGTGAAGACTATCTCAGTCTATTCTTCGTACAGGTTCTGCCCCCTCTTGCACGTGGTCGATGCTAACATGCCTAGATTCTTGATGCAATCGAACCTTTTAATTAGGTGATTTTGTTTTAGAAGCCTAAGACTTGCTGTTAAGTCGTAAGGCACATTGCACCTTAAGCTATCCAATGAGCTACTGAGGAGCCTCTAGGGCCCGCGGGAATATCTCGCGGGTAATGATGGTCGTTCGGTAACTTGAAACTCTACTAAGAAGCTGTGTGGTCTAGCTTTCCTTCTGCCTGTTATCGTTACTAGCTTTTTCACCCTATTTAATTCGCTCATTGATCGCAAGATACTTTCTCCCACAACCCGGAATGAGCAGAGTAACTAATAATAATAATAATCCGGTTTAGACTTGGAGCATACGCAACGGATGTGGCTCGAGACAAGGAAAAGTAACTAAATTACTTCCCGTGGTGGGTCAGTCAAGACAATCAAGTTCCTTCTCATATCTGCTAATCAAATATAAGCAAATATAAGCACATAAAGGGAACGAAATCGGAGAACCCTGCCCCCGGACCTGACTAGCAGTAAGTGAGGCCGTAGCGAGCTGTAGAGTCATCCTATTCTTTTCCTAACTTGGATATCATATGAGCTTAGTGGTTTCAGGTAACCATACTACAATAACACAGTGACTGTAATAAAGCTTTTTTATTCATGAAGTAATTCTGGGTAGTGCAAAATGGGACCAAGTCGGCACACCGTTCCTAGTCCCCATACACCCAAATCCCGATAGGTACCCGATGATCGCGTCGTCTGCCGATGCACTCCAACACTTCTAACCTCCGAAAATCGTTCCCCAATTCCTTATTCCGGTTAACCGCGCCAGATGGCGTGAAGAAGGGATTTCGATCTGTCCTAATTAAACGTATTGTTGCTTGTCAAGGATAGCTTCTAGCTGTAGCTGACGCTTGGCGCGTGGGAAAGTAGGTCTTGACTATGCTACACTCAAGCTCTTTACCGTGCTATGTGGTACTTTGGCGGAATTTCTATATGGGTCTCTCTGAGAAACCAGTAACTTGTTTGTTATCTTACAAACCCGTATCTATGGTCTCAGGATCGCCTTAAGTAAAGATGTCTGTATATACACGCATGTGGCTTGTTGTAGAGTTCTGTAATAACGTTCGTTATTCCTGATAAAGCTTTCATTTATGACTCGCCATTAAAGTCCCTTTGTGCCCCATATACATTGGATATAGACCAAGAAGCTACTCCGCATCATCCAGCTCCGGATACTGTCGGTAGATACCCATTGAGTATTTCTGTCTCCTGTCACTTGCGAGATACTCCTTGATGCGAGGCCGGTTCTTTACAGTTTCGTAGAGCTTGAATACATTCGAATATTCACCCGATTTCTCCAGTTTGCTCAGTGCTCGAGGGAATGCAAACTTAAGGCCATCGATGCCCTGTAGTATGCGATTAGTAATATCCCGAGCCAAATGTGGCTTTCATTAGGCACGTAGGAGCGTCCAATGCCCGGAGATGAATCTAGACGTACCTGGAAAAGAACAAGGTCTGCATAGGTCAACGTCTCGCCATACAACCACGGACGGCCTTGCGCCGCCTGGGGCTTCAGCACTCGCTCGAAGTAAGAGAGGAACTTTGGCAGCCGATTCTTCCGGTACGATTCCGACCTCCGCTTGCTCTCCTCCAACTGATCCTCGTAGTAGAGTTCCACGGCAATGGGGTGGTGAGTATCGTGAGGCTCATTACTCAATCCATCTAAAGCTGTGAGAGCGAGCGAGTTGACGTGATAGATGGCGTCCCCATCTGGCGCCAGACCGAGCCGCGGAGCCAGGTAAAGCAGAATATTGGGTGTCTGACTGATGCGCAGATCACCATGCTTGAGGATGGGCGGTGCGAACGGTGGAGGGCCAGACTGATCGCCCTCGTAGTTCTTATCAATGAGTGATAGTACGGTATTAATTCCATCCTCTTTATGTGCTGTGTCGGTATAGTCGGCTCCGGCTTCTTCCAAGGCCAGCCGTATGAATTCTCCCCGACCGGGTATCTTGGGCCAGTAGATGAGTTGATACGGACCGTTTGAGCGCTGTGACATTGTGATTGCCTTTATTTACAAAGTATAACTAGGTAGATATGGGGAAGATCAATGGCTGAGGAAGGGTGAGAGGTTGATCAAGTCGAGTCAAAATGAATTAACTAGTCAGCAAAGAGCGGGGGCTGACTTCCGTGCGGGGCATCATGCATGAAGTCATGGTGATGACGAAATCTATAAAGGTCCAAGAGTCGTACGTTGCAGGAAATACGAGTTCGTATGAAACTTAGTCCTGAAAAACATCATATACAAATGTACATACAGGCAGCGTTAAATAAATACTTGAAAAAAAAAAAAATAAGAACTAGCCAGTTTGTAGTGATTGATACTAGACCACGTCTCAATGGGGATATGAATCGGTTTTTGTAACACATTGTTCTCATTCACCGAGATCCCACTGCTATGAAACCTCTACAGACTGCCGGATTGCTCGTATGGTGCCATCAGGGAGTTCCCTAGCACCTTTGACGGGAAGGCTTCCTCCCCCAAAGTTGTGGTATGCGCCCACGGTTTAAGCCCATTCTCCCGGCGGATAGTCGCCGCGAAACAATTGCTCCATTGTTTGCGCGGGTAATGCCGTGACACGTCCTCAATGGTCGATGCATGAACGATGTCGGCATAAGCACCGGTGTTGTCTGTGCAGGTCAGGTTTATGTTACTCTGGTGGAAGCGGCCACAGTATTATGGGCTAGGACTTACCAAATATAGTGGCCAGTTGCAGCAATTGACCTACTGCAGTAATCTTGCCTTCCTCGCACAGATCCTGATGCCGGATGATCGCTTCGGCGACACTCTCCGCCTGATCACGAGGGGCAACTGCATTTCCTGATGATCCGTTACGGTCCTGAAGGACGTCCAAGGCTAGAAAGCCCCCGTAGAACTCGAAACTTAACTTCGTCTTTTTTAGATTCTCTTCTGTCGACCCAATGTCATGTAGCAAGCAGCAGAGAAAGTAGGTCTCATCGGTAAAAGACCAGGAAGGGAACACATGTCGCTTAATCGCAATACCATAGTGATACACCCGCAGAGAGTGGTTGTATGTAGGCTCGGGCAGATGGGAGCGTGCATAATGATTGATGCGCTGCGCCAGGGCAGTTTGGGGGACGGGAGTATCGGCTACGGAAATGAAAGGTGCTGGGCTGGATGGCTTCGCCGCAGAGAGGAGGGCTGATGCGGAAGAGATTACCGGAGTGAAGCCATATTCAATTTCTGAATTTGAGGACATATTGAAAAGCTCTTTGGAGAATGTAGAAAGATTGTCGTGCGGGTGTCGAGGGCCGAGGCTCAATGAGATTCTCTCTGATTGATGAATGTTTCCATCCAACAGGGTTGATGTCGCATCCTTATATGTCCTTGATGTTTTTCTAGCTGACAAATTGCACTTGCGTGACTCATGCAAATGGCGTCTAACGTATCTTTTCTGCGTTCATCATGGCTCGGGAACGAAGCATTGATGTGGATGAGAGATGGGTATGGGACGAAGATCTATGGACCATTCTAGACCCACTCCAATTTACTGCCCAAAATGGATAGCCCGGGATCGGAACATTGTTGGACCGCCATGACATCACGATTTATGCACCATATGCTGCTTACGTTATCTATGTTATTTAGTGGACTTATGTCCTGACTGAGAGCTAATTCTACCTCGATATGTTGTTACATCAAAGTGAACCAACTGAAGAGGTTATAACAAACGATATGACACTGAATATACACTGATTTGCAGGAATGACAAGCTGGAAGCCTGGCCAGACCTAAATCCTTGCCCATTATCTTTTACATTCACGTAAGACAATTTACAGGGAGCCTATCAGCGGAAGGTAGATCGTATCATGTATTCGAAATGCTCAAGCTAAAGCTCCCACGAAAGCCTATTACGAGTGCATCCTTGGTGTCAAGTCACAAATGAACTCCTCTTGTTGCACAAACCATACATTTCTTGTCTTCCACGGCTTGTTCTGATGCAAGTGAATATCGAATTCCCGCAATAGCTGAGGGAGAATTTTCCGCATTTCCATCAGAGAGATTGTCTTCCCAACACATGATCGCGAGCCTGCGCCGAAGTTGAGAAAGGCTTTCTCCATTTCTTTTAACTTTTCTGGGGGGTTTTCCAGCCATCGCTCAGGGAGGAAGGAGTCCGGCTGAGGAAAGACAATCGGATCTCGGTGGACAACCCAGGGGTTGATACCAACCTTTGTACCGCCTGGAATGTGTTGACCGCAAACAGTGACGCCCTGCGGCGGCACATGACGTTCGAGGTTCCCTCCAACTGATGGGTGCAAGCGCATTGCCTCTTTCATAACCGCACCGAAGTATGGAAGATGTGTGGTTGATTCGTGGTAGGAGATCGGATTACTCAGTTTGCCGTCTCGGTCTGCTGTATCGATCTCCACTCGCACTTTTGACATTTTGTCTGGGTGGCAGATGAGATAATAGAGAATTGCGCGAAGGGCAATTGCGGTTGTATCGGATCCGGCGAAGACATTTGTCGATAGGTGGACAATAAGATCTCTTGTCGATAGCCGTGTCGGGTCAGCGTTGTGGATTGCCAGCCACCGAGACATCATGTCCTTTCCGCCAATTGCTTCGCCTATCTCGTCCTTTTTCAAGTCCCCGTCGCGCTGTAGGGACGCTCGTTGGTTGATCGCCTTTAGGGTGAATACGACCACTTGGTTCCATGTCTCCATTTGAGGGAGTAGAATAGGGAAGAGAGGGTTCCCAAGGAGGACTCTATGAGCCTCCGGGATCTGGCCACATATCAACGCATATGTGAGCATTCCCCGGATTGCCTCAATCATATTGTCTACATCCTGTCCTTTCTCCAAGAATCCTAGCTTCTGAGCGAAAGATAGCTCGCCCACAACGTCGAAGGCGTAGTATTGCAGCCATATTCCGAGGTCAATCGGCGCCTTTTCTTTCACTATCTTTCGGATTTGGGATAGAAACAGCTCGGTACACGAGTCGACAGCAGGCTCCATCTCGAGTATAGAGGTCATACTGTAACCGCCGGCAATAGGACGTTTCTGATCACGATGGAAACGCTCATCTCGAGTAGAAAAGAGGTTCATTTGAGGTTTCTTGTCCCATGATATGGATTGAATTGGGTAGAAAGCCGTCTGGCGAGGGTTACCTTTGGACTAGAAGGACTGGCGAGTTAACCTACCTTGGTAAAGCCATTATTGAAGCCATAGATGATCGGGATGGCCTTAGGGTCGCTCACTGAGATATGCCTGGGGCCGATTCGTACCAAAGAGCCATATTTCCGGTGAAGGTCAATCTCCGTGTGATGATGGTCGCCCTTCCATGCATTGTACAGCTTCCACAGTCGAGTGTAGGCCGCCAACGAGGGACCCGGAATTCCAGACAGACGGAATCGATTCGTAACAAGACGAGCAACAATCAACCCGACAATTAAGACAACAACACTTCCGGGGTCAACCATTGTATACAATATAGTCAGAACTCGATTCCTGGTGATAATAGAAATGGAATGAGAATTTTTTCGGTCGGCAGCCCTTGAAATCGCAGACACAACGCCTTTCACGCCACCATTATTACTCCACTTTTTAGCAAGAGTCTGGAAGAAGTGACCCATTCGCACCCTTGCATAACCCCACTTGGGACTCTGAGATAGCACAAATGCGCTTTGGCGTGCGAGATCCTGCCAATTGGAGGCTTGGAATTACATCCTTTACGCAGACTTTTTAACATAGCACGGTCGCAGTAAGTCGAGTGGGCCGCTCGAAGGGATCGACGGCCTGTCACTAAACTGACTTAACATCCTATTGCAGACTTGGCGATGACCAGAGCGCCTAAGATCCACATCCCCGACCATTCAGACGCCATGGTGTCCCTCCAGCTGAAAAAGCCCCAAGGAGGGTGAAAAATGGATGGGCAGAGGTAAATTGGCCAGGCTATAAGGCAGGGGTGTCTGCGGGACGGCTCTTAGCCCTAACACCGGCACCCGCTACGTGGCCTTGCAGCACGATGAAACATGTTAAATGCAACAGATCACCATGTGATAGACCTATAGGTGATAGCAAATTGGAGCCCCTTCTGAGATATTAGTATTATTTCATCGGTCGATATACACCATAATTGACGCCAATCTGAGTGTAGTTAGCTCGCTTACTAGCACAGTATCGAGTCGATATGCACGCGACACTGTTGATCCTTGATACAGATTTCTATTTTTCACATCTAAATTTTTTGTAGACTTACTAATGCGAGTCTAAATAGACTTAATACCTCACCGGTTGTGTCATGGGGCCCCATATTCTGTTGTTGAAATGATTCTGTTAAGAAATGGTTATCCACAAAGTCCTCCCGGCCTTGACACATATGGCGTAAGCCAATGTTTATGTTGCTCTCATTTACTGATTCATTCTTTTATTCTGTTTTTTGTTCTTCTATCTTTTCGATATAAATGTGATTCTTTTCCTTTCACTTTTTCTTTTGGTCTCAAAACCCTCATGTGGGACTGTTTGCAATATTTCCTCCCGTAATGTGTAGTTAGAAAATGTATTCCTCACCCAGGACGCCCTGATTTTCCCTCAATGTGCAGCTGGGCTCGATTAGTAGGAGGGGCATCCGAATGGACTCGTGTCCTCTCTTTACCTGTATATGGGCTTATTAGGAGATACTGCTTTCACGGCGCATATTCCAATTTACGAAGCAAAGTTTGATGTGGGAATCCGATGGACTTACCACCATGACGTCTCTCAAGAGCTAGCACTATGATATAATACAGAAAGGGATAGGTTGCATCCGGAATGAGGACCCAATGGGTCTTCTCGAAGATCTATCATGGATTCCAAACCCCTTTTGGAATGGATTAGAGTCGTTGGTACTCACTCATATAATATCCAATACCTCGTCTCTGGTCTTATGTATCAGCCACTTTGAATCGAATTGAATCACACTTTGTGACCCGGAATGGGGGTTCCGTATATTAGGCTACAGCAGATGAGGAATCTCCAAATGGCACTTTCACAATAGGGAAGCATCCTCAATATCCGGCGTCATATCTCCGATCCGACTCATCTCCGCCCAATTTAGATCCCGCTCAACATCACCTACACCCTCAAAGCCCTTCTTCTCCCCCTCATCGTAGTTCCCCGGATCCTCCAATCCGAGATGCCTACTGATAGGCATCACCATTGCCGGCAAGGTATGCTCCACCTTCGCCATCAACAACGGCAAAAACCTTTTTCTTCCACCGTGCAAGGAATGCACCAACGAGCACAAATGTTTCAAATAATCTTGGGGCCCCATCTCAAAGCCGGAAGACCTCAACCCCGTCGAAGTCAAACAAGCCATAACATCTGTTAACGTACACGCCACTTCAAATATCTTCTCGATCAACCCGACCCCATGCGTCTCCATACTCTCCCGAGAAAGCTTCCACGTCGCCAAGGACAAATCCCGGGCAATCTGCAGGGGATACCGGAAGTCGAGACTTGGGTGGGTAGGCGTGCTGGATAGGAAACCTGCCGTTGTGGCAAGTTGCCAGATCATGGTGCGGAGCCATTGCTGCGAGACACGGAGATCGGCGAGGAGGATATCCGGGAGGTCGAGGTCTGCCGGGACGGAGCGCTGAAGGTGCTCTTCCAGCTGGACTAGGGATTCCCGGGTGCAGATTGGTTGATTGCCGTTCCAGATTGCGAGGAAGGTTTCGTCGAAAGGTCGGTAGAGATCGACTAGATGGCTGAAGCCGACAGAGAAAGTATCCAGGGGTGACGTGTTTAATGTTGGGCTGGTGTTTGTGATCTGCAGTGTTACTGGACGCCGCCGGCGGATTGCATGGGCACTATCTTACTATCAGTAAACGTTAAACAATAGGTACGGGTATGAACTAACCGTTCGGATATTAATAACAACCAGAATAGCTTCCCCGAGAAACAAGGTTGGTCTTCATCGGGGGACTGGTCCAACATATCGGCCGTGTAAAACGTAGTGGCCTCGCGCAGGAAGTAATAAGCCTGACGCTGGTTCCCGCATCCAATATGGCACCCGTATGAAAGAAAGGCAATGGTAATACCAAGTCTAATAGGCGCAGAAAACGGATCCAAATGCCGCCGAGCAGCCATGGCTTCATCTAACAAAGCGCGGCCCGTATCCGGGCCCGTACCCTGATGGCAGGAAAGATACCCCGTCTGCGTCAACACGAAAGCACAGAATGCCACTACAAGGCAATATGCATGAGGGCACTCATTCATACGTTCCACCTGCTCTTGAAACTTATCAGGATGCAAAATCGGTACCGTCCCTAACATCCGAGAATAGAAGTACGCAGCACAGCTCTGCACGAGCCCATCATCCAACAATCCAGACCTCTTTACATATACTGTCGTCGGTGTATCATTAGGTATCTCGGCAGGTGCAATACCACTCGATGGGGTCTCGTCAATTGCATCTGGATTTGTATTTGCCTTCAATTCGTACAATACATTAGCTGAGCGTCCCTGTCGCCCTTTTTTGCGCCCAGAACTAGTTGACCGGCAGTTCAGCCCCATCGATCGACAGGGACTACATGGGCGGTGTGGTGTGCATTTTACTTTTCGGCGACGACAGGCGTCGCAAGCTCGAGGGATGGTTTCGCGCGGCATGGGTTTGAATGTGGTTGGTTAGGACTGGTTGGAACGGAACGGGTGGTGAGTCGCAGCGCCAAGAAATCTATGGAACCGAGGTAATTTAATTGTGGTTGGATGGATGTTTGGGTTTGGTTTTAGGGTTCGATAATGTGCATCTACATAACGATGCACAAATATTGATACTATGGGTAGACGTAGAAAGATAAGTATTAATCATTGGTAGAAGCTAGTGAGGCAGTTTAGTTGTCGTAATACAGCCTCATTGTCACTCGCATCCTCCCATCGTCTATCTAAAAGGATTCTGGAAGGAAGGAAACTAAGAATATACATAACTACACAACTAACCGCATCCAATTAATGCATTAAGTGAAATAATTACATCTGACGCACACATAATAGAATAAAGATAGAAAATTGTATTCATTGATTTCAATATATACAAAACAGACAACATCACCAACATGAAAGCATCTACTCCTTAGCAGAATCAACCCTCACCTCAACAACATCCTCATAAGGATCCACTACTGTATCCGCAAACTTGCGTGCAGAAACTCTCTTTTCGAAAAGCACGTCTAGCTCCTCATACGTCCTGCCCTTAGGCTCAGGCATTCTAAAGAATGACCAAACCAGACAGACTAAACAGGTTCCGGCCCAGAAATACGCACTCCTTGAGCTCCAGCCCCAGGCCGTGTCATTGAGTTGATAGTTAGTCAGTACGTTGACGACGATGTTGCTTATATTGTAGCCTGCTCTTGCTAAAACGATGGTCTTCGCTTTGAGTCTTGTTGAGGATAACTCTGAGACGAGACAGTATGTCACGGGTCCAATGGTAAAGTCGTAGCAGAATGTGAAGATGATAAGCATGACACCGATGGCCCATTTTGCAGAGTTGTTGGAGTCTGGTGCGAAAGAGAGACTTCCTGTTATTATGAGGAGGGTAAAAAGACTGGTTAAACCTGCGAGGTGGAGGGTTCGACGGCCTGCTATTGTCATTAGGTACCAAGAGCCTAGTGTACCTATGACGCCGAGGGAGTATTGGACTAGAGAGAGGTCGAAGGAGCGCACAGTGGGGAGGCCGGCTTGTACGCAGAAGTAGGCGAAGTAGCCCATGAGGTTTTGGCCGCAGAGGGTTTGGACTAGCCAAACGCCGCAAACGATTTCCGTTCGCCGTAGGTTCACGCCCTTGAAACAATCTCTGTATCGCGTTCCCTCTGTTGCAGACTTCTCAAGTTCGTTTGTGTGCTGGATCATGGCTATTGTGGCATCTGGGTCGAAGGCTGGGTTGCTCGAGGTTAGCCGAAGTAGAGCGCGTTTGGCACCGGATATATTTCCGCGACGGACGTGCCACCAGGGTGATTCTGGGGCGAAGAGGCAGCCGATTAGAATGGGGACGGGCCAAGCCCATTGCACTGCAAATGGGATACGCCAGGCCCATTGATCCTCTCGTTGGATTGAGCCACGGTTTACACCGACAGCAACGAATTGACCGAAGACCCAGCACATGTTTATGAAGGTGGTTAGGTACGGTCGTAGCACCACAGGACAGACCTCCGAGGCATATGCTGCGGGTAGAGTTTGGAACACACCCCATGGGATACCGGCGAGGATCTCAGCTGCGAGTAACATTTGGACGTTGACGGCGAAGAAGAACAGAAAGATCACACCGATCATGGCTGTTAATGCGGAGACCATGGTCCAGCGGTAGCCGAGTCGCTCTGAGACCAGACCGTTGATCAATAGGCCAATTACCTCACCAACTCGGGCTCCGTTGGATAGAGCGGACTGCCACGAGGCTGGGACAGTCCATTTACCGTTGTTGGCCTGCCTTCCGAACTTCTGATTGAACGCTGGTGAGGCGTACATGGAGCTCAGTAGGGCTAGGTCGTAGCCTTCCATGATGAGGGTCGAGGATAACAGGACTGACCACCCGACAGCCTTGGGGTACAGACGAATCGCCTGCCATAGGGTCATAGATTGCTCTTGCTGGGCGGCCCGTTTGCCATGGACCAGCGAAGGCTTTCGCTGAGTGCCATCGTTGGCTTCAATGGCGTCTGGGGTAGACATGGTTGGCGTCAGGTGCGAAAGCAGTGTTCAGATGCTTTCCATTAGACAGAGAAGTGAGCAAGCTTGGAGAGTTCGCAAACATGGGTGAGCTAGAGAGTTATATGTCCTGCAGTTTATCAGATGACGAGAATCTAGCCCTGGAGAACTGGGGTTATGCGAAAAATGGAGAATCTGGGGATCCCCACAGAGCGCGGGAGGAGGGCCCTGATTGGTGGGCGCAGGACATGTCGGGCTCTAGTCGGAGGCAATACGGAGTCAGTACGGAGGCTAGTCGGAGGAAGCAGTATGTGGAATGCCGTATAAAGAGGAGTTCGACTGCAGCAGAATCTATTTCGCACCCGTTTATACCACCATCATGTCGCCTCACGCCGTACGTACAGTCCCTTCTGGAGAAAATAACTGGTGGAAGGAAGCCACCGTGTACCAGGTAATGACCTTCACCATTCGTCAACGAAAGGCGACACTCACCCACCGAATAGGTTTACCCCGCCTCATTCAAAGATTCCAATGGAGATGGCTGGGGGGATATTCCCGGACTAATTTCTAAGGTCCCCTATCTACATTCACTAGGCGTGGATGTTGTCTGGCTATCGCCCATGTATGATTCTCCTATGCATGACATGGGCTATGATGTATCCGACTATGAAAATGTATTGCCCGCTTATGGTAGTGTCGAAGACGTCGAGAATCTTATAAACGCCTGCCATGAGCGGGGCATGAAATTGATCCTAGATCTGGTTATTAACCACACCAGCGATCAGCACAAATGGTTCCAAGAAAGTCGCCGCAGCAAAGATAACGACAAGAGAGATTGGTACTTTTGGCGCCCACCTCGGTATGATGAAGATGGCAATCGATTGCCCCCAACTAACTACCGCGGATATTTTGCCGGTAGCACTTGTACTTATTCCTTTTACCAGAATTCAGAGACGAATCCCGAACTAACGAACATCCAGGGACATGGGACGAACGCACCCAGGAGTATTACCTCCACCTATACGCTAAAGAGCAACCCGATCTCAACTGGGACAACGAGGCAGCACGAAAGGCCATTTATGATAGTGCAGTCCGCTTCTGGTTGAACAAGGGCGTCGATGGATTCCGCGTCGACACCGTCAACAAGTACAGCAAGCACACGGACTTTCCTGACGCACAGGTTACTGATCCCAAAAGCTATATCCAGCCGGCAATCGAGATGTGGTGCAACGGGCCTCGAATCCATGAATTTTTGCGAGAGATGTATGACGATGCCCTGCAGCCTTACGGGGACGTGGTGACCATTGGCGAGCTGGCCAATACACCTGATCCAGAACATGTTTTGAAGTATGTCGGTGCGTCCGCTAAGCAGCTCAGCATGGTATTTCATCTAGATATTGGCCACATTGGTATGGGCAAAAGTTTGGAGGACAAGTACATTTTCAACCCGTGGCAGCTGACTGAGATGAAATCCATCGTGACCAAGTGGCAGTCCTTCATTGAGGGTACTGACGGGTGGACGACAGCGTTTTGCGAAAATCACGATAATGGTCGCTCAGTGTCTCGATTTGCGTCGGATGCTCCTGAACATCGCGAACGATCGGCCAAAATGCTTGCTCTGATGATGATGGCCATGACAGGGACATTGTTCCTATATCAGGGCCAGGAAATCGGCATGATCAACGCCCCACGCGACTGGTCAGTCGAGGAGTACAAGGATATTGAGGGTCGCGGATACTACCAAGAAGCAGAGCGACAAGTTGCAGCAGGTGTTGATTCAACACGTAAAGATCGCATTATGAACGGATTGCGGATTCTGGCCCGTGATCATGCCAGGCTGCCCATGCAGTGGGACGACTCACCCCATGCCGGTTTTACGACGGGGACGCCATGGATGCGCGCCCATGACCTGTACCCCGAAATCAATGTGCAGAAACAAACGGACGATCCGGAAAGCGTGCTATCCTTCTGGAGGTCAGTCCTCCGGCTGCGTAAGGAGTACCGAGAATTGTTTATCCACGGGGCGTTTGAGGTTGTGGACTTTGACAATCAGCAGACTTTCTGCTTTTTCAAGTCAAGGGATGAGAAGAAAGCACTGGTAGCGTTGAACTTCACGGCTGATAACCAGCCATTTACACAGGCCACAGCGGCGGAAGAAATGAAGCTGCTGGTCAGCAACTATGCTGAGCTATTCCCTGAAACATTACGACCGTTTGAGGGTAGAATTTATATTTCATAAACAATAGACTAGACAGCATATTAGAGCCATTTATGTAAGAGTATAGATTCACCTTAGAGGAAAGCCAGACCGAAAGTAGCTTGACAGTGAAAGGTGTTAGAAGGAAAATGTTGGGAAAGTTCTAACTGACTGTTGGTTTTATAGCTGCTCACCTGAACATGCTCAGCTTATCAATGAAGATAATGATGATCGGCGAAGTAGATACAGAGGACACTCTAGTAATCATTATAAGCTCTCCAATCAACTAACAAAAAGGCTGAACGAGTTCGGTAAGCTTGTTGTAAGAATTGTCAATTACATATAGAATCCGAGGACCTGTGACATTGAAGCCGAAAATGGCCGCTTTCGAGGCCAGAAAGCGCCAGCTTTCCAAAACGTATTCGTTTAACCGGCATCCGCCACAACCATAACGCAGTGATTAGGGGCGACTACCTCCCCATGGGGCTTGTTATGCTATCGCTGTGCTTGTGGAATAATGCCAGCTGTTTTCTCTGCAGTAGGAGTATTTCTTATACTTGAAATCTTGCTTTGTTAAGTTAGATCACTCTTCGCTATACTTGACAGCGAAGTTATTATTATACTAGTTGGGATTAAGCCCAAGAAGTTGTACGTGTATTTTCTGCACAGTACTATTAAGAATAGTCTTGTATTGCTTTGTTGAAGCTCCGATGCTGGAATAGTTAAGTTAGGGGCTATGCTGTTAATTATGTAATTGTAGGAGTATATTTCTCGGATGCCTGAAATCCATTCTAGATGATAGATCTGTCGGGTCGCTAAATTTCTAAGCCAGTTAATAAATTCGCTAGGTGTTCAGGGGCTATATGCGGTTGATGAAGTGGCTGGATAACAATATTTCTGGGATGTCAGGTCCCATCCTCAATGTATATCGACTGCCGGGCATTATCCAGCGAATTGAAACCAGGTCATCTTGCATACGCGCCGCATATAGCTACAGTGCTTAAAAGTAACTTAAGTTGTAGATTCGGTATTATTTATGCGGCTAATCTGGGGTGCGGGGCTAAGGAAGAGAGAGATGCATATTAGAACTTTAGACAATACCAAGGAGTCGTGCATATCATGGAGAGTCTCCGTCAAAGCAACGAAGCACATTATTCGTCGTCTGATAACCCCAGGAGAGTCTTCGTTGAAATCCGCCTAGCCTAACTAACTGATGAGCTATCAGAATCCTCCTGTCGCTTCGATCGAATTCTAGCCAGCAACAAGGCGAACACGTTATTGTCTTATCGCTTACCTACTTAGAAATTGCTTTTCTAGGTGGTCTGGCAGGACTAGGGGGTCTGGCAGGACTGGTGCAAAGAAGGCTGTGCTTGTGCTATAGAGCCCTGACTCTGGTAGGCGAAGATAGTTATTCTCGGTTTCCAAGGTTTGCACTATGTATGTATATGAACCTCTCACATCTTATTTTTTTCTTAACTTCCGTTTAAACCTGACTCTCCCAATCACAATACGCGAACAGGGGGCTGCCAAGGATTGGAATCACGGTTTAGAGGCATTTTCTGTCTATCGGCTCGTATTAGCCCACTTAGTTGGACGAAAATGATATGGAGGGTGTTGATCTTTACTACATAGTATTAGGTTCCGCTCAAGCCCCAACATCGTATTTAACTGCGCCGCACAAACTGCAGATCGCTCCAAGCAAAACTGTGCAGGAGTGGAAAAGTGGTATGGCTCATAAAACGATCGTAAGTGAAGGCGCAGCTCGAACACTTTCTTTCCTGCACCTGCTCTACTATCGAATGCTTCGCATCTTCACATAAGCTGCCATTCGCAAACCATGTCCACCGCACCTGCGGACAAACCTCAAGGGATTCGAACCATTCTCTGGCTCGAGAAATATATGTCCATTATATTTCTCGTGCTGTTTATAGCGCTGGCCTGCCTATCCGGTGCCTATCACCATAGAGTCTATTCACATGCTGAGCTTTTCGAGCCTCCATATAGCCCCTATATCAAGCCTGGTACAGACGGGCCGTTAATAACTGCATGTCTTCTGGTTCGGATTGCGAAAGAAAAAAAAAAAGCCACTAACCGGTAATCTAGACATGCATCGGGGTGGCAGTGTTCCTCCTGTCTATCTTTATACCACATAGTGGACTATGGTGGTTGGCTTGTGTCGTTACTCGCTTCAGTCTTGCTACGGGTCTCATCGCTTCTGCCGTCCTTCAATCACAATATATGCCGCTTCCTCTCGGATCATGCGAAAATGATAACATGTGGCGAGACCCCACTGACATCACAGAAGGAACACCCACAATGTTCGAGGTACTACCGATCTATTCAGGCAAGAATAAATTTGGTAGGCGTTATAAAAATCGGCCATGTGAAGCACTAATCACTATTTGGAGATTCGAGATTGCCTTAGCGTGAGCATACCTTTTGCGTTTGCCTCGCATGTTCTTTCCACGAATCTAACAACACTCCAGGGTTTTGACCGTACTCTGGGGTCTATGTGCCTGCTTCCTAGTTGCGTATGCAATGATCGCGGATAGTCCAGCGACATCGGCGCCCCTGGGTGCGGCGCTTCAGTGGCTTGGGAAGCCTTTTAAGTCTGCAGCGGGCTGGGGCAAGGGCAGACGTAGCAAGGAAAGGAAAGAAGCTGAGGCAAAACTCCTTGCTACCGATCCTGAAGGCATGGAATATGTCGATCACGAAATGGGCATCAGAGTCCGTCCGATATGAATTGATTGTTATTTGAGGATCTCCTGTGCTATCAACAGGCCGTCAACTATCTAAGTTGTTGGTGAAATTCAACCCGATATCGACCGCGAATGTACGAGTGCAGACTTGAATCTATGGATACACAACTTTGTCTGTCATAATACTAATCATGATCCTAACTATAATTGTACATAGTGCTGACTCTGTATAGCTGATACTGTCAATAAATAGAATTGTAGATTGCTGTCAGCTCTAAAGGTGAGGTTCTATAGTTTTACTAGCTTATATCTAAAAGCTATATAACTCAGAGAATAATTGGCCGAACAGATCACTCAGACATGACAATCTAGATTCTTGTCTCGAAAAGTTTAATAGTTGTACAGGATACCGTCATTATATAGTTATATAATAGTTATATCATATTGAAATTCAACCAGGATAGTTGCCACCAACGCTGTTGATAACGTCCGTTCCACGGGCAAGATCCATTAATACCAAATTATACTATACATCGTACCATACCGGTGAACCACGGGCAATCCCACCAGATACACACAGATACACACATATAGCAATCATAACCCTTCCACGGAGAGTCAGAAAAAAAGGCCAAACCACAGCAGGCCAAGACCCTGGGTAGGCAGCCGTGTCGTGGAAAAGGGAAAGGGGTTCGCGACGAAGTAATTGGTCCAGGAGAAATTACAAAATGAATATCATGTCACTGCCATCGCTCATTCCCCACCAGGTGCTCATCACTATTCTGTCTTACAACGTTATGGTCCGAGCCCTGCGATTTGTGTCTGTCATCAACCATATACTCCAGTTGAACACTATTCGTGACCAGTATCCCTTCATTGAAAGGCAGTTGCCGTGAACCACCCACCCGTCCCTCAGATGCACCGTGGCTGTAGTATGTGGGGTAGCGCTTTTCGGCTCTTCGTCGCAGGGTATATAAGGTAGGCACATTAGCGACGAATGCAGCGAGAAATTCCTCTACAGACCCCCAGGTGTTTCGGTTCAGCTGAGAGGTATTATCATCGAATGATGGAAGGCGTACGATGGCTATCGCAATGAGTAGTAGTCCGATAGCAAACAGTCCGACGAGTTGGAGACGGCTAGGGATTTGATTAGAGAATACCTATAACGTTGGATAGCGATTGCCTACCGCATCCATGATGTTTTTACCCTGAGTATCCATGGCATGGGCAGCATCATTAACATGGTATCGGTCGAGATGTTCATAGAAATAAGAGTGACGAGTTGAGTGTGAGCTTCGATGCATGACCCTGTGTACGATGTCAACGACTGGTTATTATCCGACACTTGAATATAATGGCGGGTTTTGTACGCACCTGGATCAGGCATGACTTGCCAGTACAGGTGCAGAGGTCGACAGTCAACAAAGGTAGTGATCTGAACTGCTGCAAAGCTGGCAACGAGCAAGGTCCAGCATGCTTTGATTATTCGTTCCGGCCACGGAAGGCCAGCGAGGATTCGTTGACAGAGAAGCAGGACCACGGCCTTTTGCAGCCAAAGACTGAGGATGTTAACGCAATTTAAGAATGAAAGCGAGCTAGACATACTAAACGTTGTATACCAGACGGTTAACTAACGTCAGCTTGCTGCCGACCTGGCGACGGTAGATCTCAGTCGAGCTTATATCTGTAACAGATCGATCCATATGGTTATTTCCCCAGACCAAGATGACTGTCGCGAATGCAGAACGGGCAAGCACTAGGCCAATGCAAGCGATAGTGAGATAATCACTAAGAATCAAATGTTGACCGCGACATCTCCGCATCACCAGGCGCAAAAGCATCAACGCCTCGCTCAGCGCACCAAACACACCCACCAGCACGATAGCTGCCGTTGAATCCATAGACATCTCGACGTTTGACAGTAGCCATCTTTGGTTTGAGGGTGTGAGAAGCGAAAGACAAGAAAAGATTTTTTTTTCTTATCCCTGCCAGTTATTTGTTCCACGACATGCATCATCGAGGGTTAATTGTCATTACAGTTCTTAAAGGATCACGATCCCTGACATTGGGGTTTCGATTCTAATCCGGAGGAAGTTAGCTGACAGGGCCAACTGAGTCAAAACTCGTATACCGTCAACCCTATCGGTTGCTGGTTTCCGAAGCGAGCCCACTTTGGACTACCCCATGAATCGAGCCACCAGATCTCATGATGCTATTTTTCGATTATCTTTATCTAGTCATGTATGCTAGAGTGTTAGCTTTTCATAAGACAAAAAAAGGTCAAAGAAGAGAGACAAAGAAAGAAATCACGATCATCCAAATGTTACAATTTTCGTCTTTATCTCAATGACCGATCCCTGCCCCTAATGCCTTGAACTTATTTAAATTAGGGCATGGAAATTCTAGACTCGCATTCGGAGCCTCTGACCAACAAAAACCGTCCCTTCTATTGGTGGGTCGACAGGCATCGGGGCCAAGATGCCGTTAACGAGAGAAACAGTGGAGGATCGGCGTCGACGGTCTGACATTAGTGTGGCATCCCCCTAGTCCTTCCCCGGTATTCGATTATATTTGGAACCGTTCTCTTCCGCCCCGTGGGCACTACCAACCAACGGGGCTCCATCCCAGACTACGCCCCTTTTCCCACGTTTCCCCTTTGTTCCTTTGTTCTCGGACTCGCTTGCCATGCCACACGTTTGCCAAGCATTCACGGCCGTTGTCTTGGCCTCAATGCTTCTTCTTTCACATGTCGTACATGGCGTTCCAAGATTCTCAGGTGCGGCGCCTCATTTCAGGGATTACTTCTATATTGGTGGGCAGTATGTTCAGTCCAATAGTAGTAGTGGTGGTGGGAGCTATTTCCATAACCAAATGTATGTGGAGAAGTTGTCCCCTGTCCGTGAGCGTGTGCAACCGTATCCGATTGTTTTTGTTCACGGCGGTGGTCAGACCGGGACGGTGAGCTTTATGCTGTTCCAATAGCAACTCAGTCGTAAGGGGCAGGACAACCTCTAACAAAATTAGAATCTCCTCAATAAACCTGACGGTAATCCAGGATGGGCATCTTGGTTCCTTAACCACGGCTATGTCGTGTATCTCCTCGACCGAACGTTCACCGGTCGATCCCCGATATTGCCAGACGATGACCTGAGTCAGACTGCCTTCTCGGCGGAGTTCATCTCACAAAGATTCACCGCCGTGCAGAAGTATCCCGTATGGCCCCAAGCCAAACTTCATACCCAATGGCCGGGTGTAAGTGCTCACAGAAAACTGTACGTTTCATTCGTCCCACATTAACATGCGCGACCGTAGACGGGCGAAATGGGTGACCCATTCTTCGACGCATACTACATGAGTACCATCCAATCCATCTCCGACAGTCGAGCCCAAGAAAAAACCATGAAAGCCGCCGGTGAGAGGCTTCTCGATCGCATTGGCCCGGCAATAGTCATCACGCATTCCCAAGGCGGCCTGTATGGGTGGTCATGGGCAGACAGTCGTCCGGACCTGGTCAAGGCGCTAATCCAAATCGAGCCAAAGGGCCCTCCATTCCGAGAGGTCATATTTTCAAGCGAATACAGTCGTCCTTGGGGGCTTACGTCTATTCCCTTAACTTATGACCCATCACCCACCAATGTCTCATCGCCCCTAGCTATGAAGACTGTACCAACACATTCTTCTGACTTGCTTCCATGCATCATCCAGCACGAACCTGCCAGAAAACTGCCTAAATTAGCACAGGTTCCGATTTTGATCAGTACTGGAGAGGCTTCATACCATGCTCAGTATGACTATTGTTTTATCAAGTTCCTGCACCAGGCGGGGGTTCCCGCGGAGCATTTAGAGTTAGGTCGTGCTGGGTTGCATGGAAATGGGCATTTGCAGTTCATGGAAAGGAATAGTGACGATATAGCTCAAGCCCTGCATGAGTGGATGGTGATAAAAGTGAACAGCACGCTTTGAGATCGTAAACATGTAAGCTGGCTTTATTGGATATCATAAGACATTGGCAGTGACTCGGATGGGCCGGTCGTCTAACTGATGAGTCACGAGATGGGCTAAGCAAACAAACAGCTGTCTAGGAACACTGATTGCTTGGAATCCATATTGATAACATGTTGTAATACTTTTCATGGACTGAGCAGTCTATGTCTTCCAGGTTTAGGTTATAAGATTATAGGAGGTTGTCTTGGTAATCCACAGAGTGATTGCGTTTTCTAAACACACAAAAGAACAAGCATCCTGCCATGGGCTACTAATACCTACGTACCGTGAATGCATCAGAGAACATTGATCTGACTGATCAGCATAGACAATGCCGCCAAATAAGAACATATTCTCAAACTATCGTTGCCCGACACTACAGTTTTCATAGATTTCACATAGTGAAGCAATTCTTCGGACCAGCCTTGTCGCGATGATCCAACTCGGCTAACAGTGCACAGGCTGCGACAACTCTGAAGCTCTTAAGCTCACCGTATATATCCTTGCGGTAGCAGGAATCGCTCCCTTGGATCCCATGATAAAGACATGCCATGGATAGCTCTAAGCCATTAGGATCGGGGTCCTCAACCTCCTGCCGGCGCATGATGCTTGTAATCCATGTAGCAACTCGGTCGAACTCTTCGTGTAGTTTATTTGATCGGTCACGTTGGCGGCGGGTCTGTACACCCCTTCTGTTAATGATGGACCCGATGACGACCTCTAACTCGCTGATAGGCTTAGTTGGATGGTCAGAGTAGGTGTCCATGGCAGAAATTATCGCGTCTTCGTATCTTTTGTAGAAGACGACTTTATCAGCAGTGTAATTCAAATCCACTAATAGCCAAACATTGTATCTTACGCTGCTCGAATTCGCTTTGCTTCGCCAAGATGTTCTTCCCTCGGGGTTCGTGACAACGACTTACACCTCCCGAGGCAGTCCTCAATCACACTATTCCAAAAAGTTTCCTCGTCTGTGTCAGACACAGAAAGAACGTGCTTGCGCCAGATGTTTTGTTCATCGATCGCCCGGTATAGATTTCCAAGGATCCTCTCTGACTTATAGTAACGGTAGGGTTCCTCTGCATCAGCGTCATCATTATCGTCATAGTTGGCATGTGAAACATGCTGCTCAAGCCCAATCTTGGATTTATTATAGAGGCGTGTTTGGGGTCCTGGCGCCAAACTAGGTGTTTCAAAGATTAGACCCGAGACAGAAGGATTACAGAATAGAAAGGGGACCTACAAGTCCGGTCGATAACGGTTCACTCTAGGCATATCCATCATGTTGACGGGAATTCCAGTTTTAGAAAAGTCCACGGCCTTCGAGTGTAGTTCAGCCAGAATGCAGCATGAGGGATCCCTGGTTCCCAAAGCAGCTTGATCTGCCATGATCATATGGCGGATAGCAATCATACCAAGAATATCAGACCGCATGAATTCCACAAAGAATGCAGCCATGTCATCTTTCGTCACCACACGCCCTATATCAATAGATGTGGGACGCGGGTAGTCTGCGGGAGCAAATGTCTCAACGCTCTGTAGGTCAGGATCCCAGATGACATGATACAAATCACCATCGAGATCCCCTCCACTCAACTTACTTGGCAGGTCCCGACTTCCTCTCTGACTGAATACGATGCAGTTACGATGGAACCTTAGTGGATGGCCCTCTGGGGGTATGACGTTTTGGGCACGTTGAATGTCGCCACAGTGAAGCGCAGGCGAGCGAGTCACCAAGATATGCCCAGACCCAGGAGGTGCCGCATATCGCCCTTCCATACGATCAAATGTCACATAAACCTCACCTTCTTGAAGGAAGCCTGTCTCATCTATGATCCCGTATAGTGTCATGCCTTTCTTCACCGGGATGCGCGCTTTATGCTTCAGGAGCCGGAGCTCTCTGAGAACCACCGCCTCAACAATGGCACGGAGGAAGCCATCCTTCTTATAGTTCAGGCGTGTCCAGTAACATTGGCGGTAGAGTCGATAAAGTCCAATGCACTCAGCAACTGACTTGTCTTTGAGAAACCTTGATGTCTTATCTGTACTGACAGTGATCGACTGAAGACGCGTCAGCTCTTCATTCTGCATTTGAAAGAACCAATCCTGGGGGGCACCCATATCCTCCAAGATCTTAATCACCTGGCGATTTAAAACCATGGGATAAGGTCTGGACGCCATATTGCAGATCTCCAGGTTTTGCATATCCTCACTATCGAACTTGACCATTGATGGGCGGATCTGAATGACCGCAGTGGGCAATCGGGTATCAGCAGCAAGCATGCCTTTCGCCCCACCCAAACGGATCTGAAAGCATGTAGGATTTCCCCTTTTTAATGGTATGTCGGCCCAAATACTTTCCACCACCTCTCGCGATATAGCTCCGACCCCATCACTGAACACCCGTGAACCGTCCGGCGATGTGAGGTCCGAAGTGGTTGAGACTAACACCCCATGCTTTTCTAACGGGACCATGAATGGCGTCTCGGTGAAGGCCTGGCCAATTCTCGCTGCACACCGTGCCGGTGACGTTATATGTGAGAATTGACCGATTGCATTGATGATCGAGAAGTGCGTCTGCATATGACCATTATCATCACTAAAGGGAGAAGAGAACTGTGAGATATGTCAGTCTTAATTGCTATGAAATTGCTTCATAGACAGGGCTATTACCCAAACCACATGAGATCGCAATGAGGAATGCGAAAACCCGAGGAAACTATATGTGCGACCGGCGATCTGGATCCCCCTTGTCATAATGTCTTTGAATCGCGCGAAAATATCCTTGTAGTCCATCCCTGCATTGAAAAGCAAATCTCCTCCATTCTCGTCGCAGAACTGTACACGGATGAAGTTGTCGTGATGGTTGGGAAACTTGCGTAAAATCCGATTTTGAGGTTCCATTTCGGGCCCATGCAGTGTGATTCGGGTGGGGGTCACATTGACCCTATAGACTTTTGTCATGTTAGGTGTGTTCTCATGAAGCCCTTCTCTATAGGCGAAGCCGTCTTGTATCTCTCTGTGATTCTCCTCAAGCGTCGCCATGAGAGAGTCTACCTCATAGCCCCACGGATCATCTCCAGGAAACGGCCAGCCGATCATATTAAAAAGCTTTCTTATTCCGTCCACGGTGATAGAACCTCGTCCTGCTGCCCTATCTTCAGAGAACTTTTTGCATAACCTTTCGGTCAATTGACGACTAGTGGTGGGATGCAGGTATGCGTTTTGTGCCAACGCCTGAAGCTGGAAAAGAATCCCAAACGGCACAGATTTCTTGCGCGTGCATTCCGCTAGCTCATTCAACAGTTTGTGAAACTCAACCAAGACTGTCTGTGACGATAATAGGGACCTTGCTGTGGACAGGTCGTAACGATGGATGGTTATCTCCCAATCTTTGAGCCTTTCTATATTTGCCCTAAAGTCCACTACAGAAACTTTGAACTGATAAACCAAGCACTGTCCAACTATCTGGTCATGTCCGTTCCCTAAACATGACAGACGTATCTGACTGGATGGTATCCCCACCGGATTGTAGGAAGGCCCCATTGCCTTGAAGAAGAAGGGCACATCAGAGAGGGTAACTGTGAGAGTACCGTCAATCGAGTATATCAAGCTAATAATGGTGGCAAGAGGTATTTGAATTCGACACTCGGGAATTACGTTGACGATCATAGATCGCGTCTTGAACTTGACAGTTCCTCCTGCTGGCCATTGAACCTCAGGACTGTATGTCAACCGATCCCCAAGAAAGTCGCATCTTCCACAGCTGTATTGCTGCATTTCAAAAACGACAGACTCCTCTGGTCGCTCCCGGTAACCCTTTGCCCTTTCTTGGGCCTCGTGTTCCAACGTCCGCAAAGCGAAAGGCTTTGGTGGATATCTGCTTGGTTTGCAACATACATCGACTCCCAAAAGATTCAGATTTGACTTTAGTTCCCCAGGGAGAGGACCATGCGGGCTTTGCTTTTCTCCATACGTCTGCAGGAATCTTTCTCCGTCGCTGACATGCAGAAATGTAATAGTGCCAAAACGTTTCTTTCTGGGCTTGTCACAAATAAAATCTTGGATTCGGAGGTACTTCATGAAGGGGTGAAGTTCGCGTTTGAAGCCATGCCGATTAAGATCCGCCGGGACACGGTGAAGAAAGACTTCCATATTGGATATAATATCATACGAAAGGATTTCCAAGTGGAGATATGGCAGGGAAGGCACGGGTGATAAACAAGCTTGGTCGAGTAGTATTATTGATCAAGCAGTGGTGGGATCGAAAGGAGATGAGGGGAGGCCGTGAGGAGAAAACAGATGATCAGAGCTCTAATTGGTGGTTTTAGATCACCGGGTACATTCACTGAATGCATCTTCAACCTTATCTTAATTGGTGGTTTGATCCATCTCACCATTACCAGGAGTGATAGTATTTCAACCAGCGTTATCCCTCCCAATGGCTATTCTGTAGACAAGACCATCGATAGATCCACTAGAGCTGAGCCTGCGATAATTAAGAATTGTCTCTTGAGCGCGATTAGTATTTCGCTTCAAATCAAGAAAGCCGACAAGATATCTGGCACTCACAATGTCACTTTGGCCCTATGCAGCATATCAGTGAATGGTGAGCAGAGGTCAGCGGACCTTTGATGAATGAAACACATCTCCAGCCTCTCACTGTTTCAGATAAAACGAGCTGGTCCATACTAGGTCAGGGAAGACTAAAGGGACATGAGGTAGAGTTTGGCAAAAGCAATAGTGGGTTCTAGCAGCTTTTTATCACACCTGACTTGGCATGTGACGTGCCTTATTGGTGCTTTGGATTTATACCTACTAGTGATAAGTAGCTTAGGTACCTACAAGTCTCTTTTTATCTGCCCCTCTCTTTTCCATTTCGGTTTCTCGGGGACGGGCGCACTATAGTAGCATACATACTCTGTAGAGCAGTCTCAGTCCTCAGAAAACCATTCAGCACATAACTCAAGATATGACGCTGGCAAATGGGCACTGCAGGCACTCATACATTTTTATTTCACCGACCATTCTTAAGCAATCATTTTTCTTATTCCGTATAATGTCATTGAATGCCTCGGTACTAGACTAGTAGTATGAGCTTGCATCTACTCTAGTAGGAGCTCTTGTTGAAGTACTATGTTGAGGTCTTTGTTGTTTTCGTGTCTTCCTCAACGCCCGAGATAGCTTCGGGCACAGGGAGGGTAACCTCGCTCTTTCTTTCCAAATATTTTTACCATGTTCGATTCTTCTCATTTGTTACTAGCCCTCTATATTAATTCTTCTAGTTTCACTGTCAGCTTTTACTATCGTCACATCGAATGCGAGCCGAAGCTCACCATCCAAACACTGTATAGATGGCCAGCTTAAGCCATGTATGTACTTTGAGGGCCTGAAAACTCGTAATATATTATGCATTATACTCGGACTTGTTGAACCAATTGTGCAACAACATCTATTCTGCTTCTGCAATGCAGTATGCTGCGTCTTACCTCTGGACCTGCTCTGGGATATGGTCATGATTGCTTCTTTTATGGCACGGCGACGCAATACGTACAGTCAGCACTCGGACAATAATCGATCTTCACGTCACAAAGTACAAGAAGCATAAGCATATATGTTCTAAATGCAACAATAGTATCAGGATACACTGTCCAAAAAAGACTAACAAAAGGGAAAAGGAAAAGGAAAAGGAAAAAAGAAGAGAAAAGAAAAGAAAAGAAAAGAAAAGATAAAAAAATGTAAGAGGAAAAAGGAGAAATTACAGAAACACTAATGGAACAGGGAATGGCAGCACAAAGGCACCATGGGTGTCTTGTTTTCCTAGCCTCTTGGAAACCATAAGGGCTCCCTAGTCATCGACGATTTGACAAGGTTCCCACGACGGAAGGCAGATAGTCTAGAAAAGCGTTGCGCAAGAATTTGTATCCAAGCTTCTCGCATCTGCAAAGCTTCAACCTGCTGAAACCTCCATATAATATAGTACGCATCACAAAGTGTCGTTGACAAAAGCGCGAACAGAATGAATATATGTGCCGAGGTGTATCCGAGGAGATCAAGTACACATAAAAATGATCCGATACAAAGAGCGGCCAACATCGTAGCCAAAGCACATTCTTCGTGTTTTCGGCAGAAGGCAGATTTAGAATCTTCTACCATTCTATGTAGTTTCGCGAGAGCTGGTGGTGGGGGGAAGTTATCCATGATGAGGATGGCGAGATTGACTGCATAATCGTGACAGTTCCAGAAGACTGTACGATATCTTGGTAGTGCATCTGTGGATCGGTCCACTCGATGAAGCTCTTGCGCTTTTATCGGAGCTTTTAGTCAGCCTTTAGCTCCTGGGGGCAACGATGAGGACATGGTACCCTAAAGAAGGAACCTGAAGTCACCTTACATATGTAATCTAGCTCACATAGACACATGCTTGTCTTTCCAATGAACTCCAGGGCGCGAATTATCTTCAATTCAGGCTTTGGTATTTTCCTTCCAGGTCCAGAAATGGCCAGCACAGAGTATGTGCCTTTATGGTTGTAGATTGTACCTTCAGCCAATTTGTCGATCAGCGTTCGAGACTCGTCCGAGGAAACACTGGAAGGAATAACGATCACACCCATATGCTGGATAATTTGAAAAGGTCTGTTTGAGATCTTGGGAATGACAGGAGCATTCAGACTCTTCAGGCAGTCCCAATCCACCTGAGCCGGTCGTATGTCGACTAAGCTGTTCGCAAAGATAAATACATCCTGCGTTCCTGCCAGCCAAACATCGTATTAGAGATCCTTCATACACTTCTGGTTCCAACCGCACCTGGGGTGTGATCTGTAATATGTTGGCCACCTGATCCAAGCTGAGCAGGACAACAGCAGCAAGTCGTCCAGCAACCGGTACTATCAATCATCATTACCACTCAAAAGACATCTTTCATGGGGTCTTGGGTAGTAACAGCAGAGAAGATGATGAGGATCTCTATCAAAGGGACAAGAATCAACTTGGGACATGCATTATCTACTTTAATCACTTAGGCGCATTTGTTGTGAAACCCTCGTGCATCGTCTACTCACATGCAACATATTCTTCGCTCTGTAATGAGCTACATGTTGACCGGTGTGATTTCCGTACTCTGAGGGGGTTGACACTGATGCCAGCGGCTTCCACTTTTCTCTACAAGCATCCTATCGAACATGGAGAGAATGTCCCCCTCTGTGTAAGTTGCAGGACTAATCTACAACAAGTTTACACTTATAAACATATCCACAGTACAATTGTTCGGTAATCATACCGGTGAATACATCGATCGAATTGGAAGGTTAAAAAACAAAATTGGTGGCTTAAATAATGCTCTTTCTCCCGCTGCCGGATATACCCGAGAAACATGTGTCAGATATCGGATCTGCACTGGTCTTTCCCGTATGTTCTTCCGAGTCGCAACATGCTACGTAACCTACGTAAAACCGTCCAAGTCGCAGTCCAACGCTTGGTGAGCCTTAGGAAAGTCCGATCATGACCAAATATTTATTAAAATTGTAACACAAGGACATCAAATTAGCTGAAATCAAAATTAGTCACGTAATAAGTTGGTAAGTCGATTGAAATTTTCTTCGTCCCCTTGGCTATTTTACATTTGGTCTGGTGCTGCTCAAAACTAGATGAATGGGTTTCAGATATATACAAAGTAGTCGAACTGCATGATTCAAGAGACGTATGACAGCTACACAATCCCGAGTTACAAGTTACATATAGAAGTTTTGGGGTGTGGGCACCTTGGTACCACAATTGAGCACATCGCACGTTATACAGTCCATGAAAAGTTCATGCGGTTGAGAATTGTCACTTGTGTAGTTTTGGGCAGCTCTTTTGCTCAAGAGCCTGGAGCCTAAGGCAGATATACGCGATACCACGTGACGTTTCTGTATGACGTCACGTGTTCACAAACAACGGGGTTCAGATCCTGAGCTTGCATTCTCCCGGACATCGTTGAGTACTGCCGATGCTATTGTACATATGATCTGCATCTAGAGCTACCAATCTCTTATTGGATTAACTATCATTGTCTCATGAAAACGAGAATTGATAACATTGCGCCATGAACTGGGCACAGCAATTCGGATACCTCATCGCCCCTGACGTGTGACATTGGAAGTTGTATTCTGCTGTGGCTCGGGAAATTCATCCAACACCTTCTCCTCTCCACTGACTGTAAATGTGGCCGTCGGGAAGTCCTTGCCGACATCTACCTCCAGCTTATAAGACCCCGGATACAGCACCAAGTCTCCGTTCTCAGCAGTCCTTGCAACGGAACCCACCGAAACATCCAACTTCACTTGCTGGCTTTGTCCGGGTTTAATTCCCTTCGCGCGACTGTATCCCACCAGTGTCTTGATAGGATAAGGCTCAGGCCCGACCCCATCAGCGGTCAAGAATAACAAAGCAATGTAATCCGATGTCACCTTCCCGGTATTCGTCACCGTGATAGAGAATGTATCAAAAAGCTCCGTATCAACCGGTGCATCAGTAGTGCCACTGGCTACAGAATCCGTGTTGTACGAACCATAATCATCGTGATCCCATGACACATTGAACGTTGTATAGTGGAGACCAAAGCCGAAAGGCAACACCGCCTTGTCATACCATCGGTAGGTTCTTCCTGGGTTGTTGAACCCTGGACGAAGGGTCATGTCTGTCATGGGGACTTCATCCACATAGGTGGCTGGGTATTGTGTTACTGGGAGCCGTCCGGCAGGTGCTGATTTGCCAGTTAGAATATCGAATATGGCTGCGCCACCCGCTTGACTGGGATAACCAGCCCATACAAGTGCCCCGACACCATCATTGGCAAGAAGGGAGGAGTCGTCCACTTGCCCACCGCCGAACTGCACCACTATTAATGGTTTCTTCAGGTCGGACAACTGTTCGATCAAATCTAGCTGATTTCCGGGCCACACAATAGTTGTGCGGTCCTGCGACTCTTTCTCAATTGTATTGTCTATGCCGCCCGCATAGATCACAATATCTGCATCTTTGGCGGTGGAGATGGCCTCTTCGAAGCCGGCTGAGCTGTTTGAGTTGATATCTGTGCCTTGAGAGAATCTAACTTTGAATCCCTTGTGTGCCGCTGCCCATATCAACGTCCTGATGTACTTTGGAGGTCCTTCGTAGTTTCCCTGCAGTTGGGTGGTTGCGTTCGCAAATGGGCCAATTATTGCTACTGTCCCATTGCTCTTCAGTGGGAGAGTTCCATCGTTCTTGAGCATGACGATTCCTTCGACCGTTGCCCTATGGGCAAGTTCCTCGGCGGCCGGAGTGAACACCTCGTTCCACCCGATCGATCTGTAAGGTTGGTCATCTGCAGGGTCGAAATACCCGAGCTTCACAAGGGATGAATATAGTCTTATAAGTGCCTTATCCAACGTCTGATTGCCATACAGTCCCTGCTGAAGCGCACTGCCCAAATATTCCGGGAAGACGGACCCGCAGTCCAGGTCCGTTCCGGCGTTCAGAGCAGCGGCGGCGGCATGGGCACCATCGGCGACGTAATGATGGTCAGCGTAGATGTTGTCAATTGTGCCACAATCACCTGTGACCCAGTGGCCAGTTTGCTCCCATCCCCAGTGCTCACGGAGGAGAGTCTGCAGCAGCCAGCGATCTGCGCATGCGGGGATGCCATTTAAGGAATTGTAACTGCACATCACGGCGTCGACTTTCGCATCGCGCGTGCATGCCTTGAATGGGGGTAGATAGTACTCAGATAAATCTTGAGAAGACACAACGGCATCGAATGCATATCGCTCGATACCTTCCCAGTTCTCCAAATCGTACGCTGCGAAATGCTTGCACGTTGCGACTACCTTGGGTCTCTCAGGCCCAATACCGTCTTGAAGTCCATCCACCAGATGGTAGACATACCGAGAAAGATGCAGCGGATCTTCTCCGGGAGTTTCTTGACCTCGGCCCCATCGCGGGTCACGGAATGGATTAATATTAGGTGTCCAATAGTCGAGACCCGCATGACCACCATTGGCGAACGCTCGAGCCTCAGTGCTGATGACAGTGGCGACTTGCTTCACAAGATCATCGTCGAAAGCAGCTCCGAGGAGAATGGGCATTGGGAAGGAAGTTGCGTAGCTGAAGTTACCGCCGTCGGTAAACGACACACCATGACCCTCGGCTACGCCATGGAGGGCTTCATTCCACCAGTTATAGGCAGGTAGGCCCAGTCTGGGCGCCCCGGACGAGTCGTACTTGGTGTTGTTGATTTTCTCCTCAAGAGTCATGGCTGCCACGAGCGATTTGGCACGAGATACGGGATCGAGCGATGTGTCGCAGACATCATTCTTGCTTAATGGGCCAGTGCTACAATTTGGAAAGACGCTCTCAGTCGAAGCTAGGGAGGTAAAGAACGAGAATGCGGCGAGAGGCCGCAAGAAGGGATAGAGGTGCACCATCTTACTGAGTGCCTAGTTTGACTACCTCTGACCAAGACATGGTGATAGGAGGCAGAGTCGCCTTTATATGCCTGCAAACCGAGGGCACTCTCAATTGAATTTACCGCCGTTGGGAAATGAAGGGTCATGCAATGCTCTCTAACACAAAAACCGGCTGATATCCATGCTCACATAGTAGTAGTTAAGTATCGCTCTGGCGATGGACAAATTCTTCGTCTGGAGAGCTGTTTGTCATTCCACCAATCGCACAGCGTAGATGGCTAACCGATAACCTTGTTATCATGCAAGCAATTAGCCTGAATGTCAACCCCTTGCGGGGAATGCAGATCATGGTGCGGAGATATTGCGGCAATAACTGCGATGTAGCTGTATTTTGCGTATTAGGCGGAAATGAACGTTATCCGACCATGCTCTCACCTTCTGATGTTCAATTACGATCTTCTTTCTAATGCACAGATCCGCTACATATTCATTCTTGTGTCATGTCACATCCATTATTCTATTGTTGCGATATATATACAATGTCAGAGCATGTCAAATCGCATATCGAAACTCGGGATTCTCCCGATCGGTTAGATCCAAGAACTCATGATTCTGCGGCACGGTATACGCATTACCAAGCGCCTCCTTTTCTTGGTCCCTCCGGCGATTCTCCCGGATCGACAGCCAGCGAATTAGGCAAAGATCCAGCGTGACAAGAACGTATAAGATGACGATCGAGATCTTGGCAGGCAGATACTGCGGGGCATCCTTCGCCTGGAAAGTCTGGGGCGAAATAATATTTCCGACCGTGTATGCGATGGTCTGGATACATGAGACAGTGATTTTTTTCGTTGACCCAGCGATGTTGGTACTTGTTAGGCCCAGGATAGTGGTCCACCCGATCGGAATGCCACCTGTGAGATAGTAGCCGACAAGGGCGGGAGCCTTGTCTGTGGTTGCCATGAGGATTGCACCCACAATCGAGGGGATGTGACCGATTATGCACCAGAGGAGTCGTTGTTCGGTTTTCATGGCGAGGTAGGTCAGTCCGACGAGGGCAACAACTTCGTAGGCACCTAAAGGTGTCACTAGCAGGAGACTCTGCGTTTGCGAATAGCCCATGCCAGACACGAGAATGTTCCCGAAACTAGTCGCGATGGAATTCGGTACATTGGCAGCCAAAACCCAGAAGGAATACAGCCATGTGTTCGGGTCTTTCAGAGCTTCATACACTTGGGCCTTCTTGAACACGTTGCTGCCGATGCCCTGGACGTTGCTTCGCAGGCGCTCTGCGTGCAGGGCCTTCTCTTCTGGTGATAGAAACCGAGCAGTCACAGGCGAGTCTGGCAGGATGAAGAAGAACAAGATGCCAATCACGACGGTGAACAATCCTAAGATGAGGAAAATTACCTGCCATCCGCGGAGCGAAGCAGTAGGATCGCCACCGATATGGATGGCTACACCGTATGCAATATACCCTCCGAACATTTGCGCAAAGCCACACATGGAGAACCACAATCCAACTCGAAAAGCCTGTTCCTCCTTGCGATACCATTGCGATGTGAACACTACCCAAGCCGGCACCACTGCGGCTTCGGCAGCACCAAGCAATGTACGGCATACCATTAATGCAGCAAAGGAATGACACGCGGCCATGCATGCTAGTATTGTCCCCCAGACTGTTACATTGAAGGCGACGTATCGAGCAAGGGGAAATGCCTGGATGAGACGGGTCGTCGGGAATTGAAACGCCAATTGACCGAAGAAAAACATACTGGAGACCCAGTTGAACTGGTTTCCATGAAGATTTGCCGACTCCCGAAGACCCGTAACACTGGCATAACTGATGGCGATTTTATCCAGATATTGTAGGAAATACACGATGCAGATCAGCGGCATCACGTAAAGATCGATCTTGCGGACTAGTCGGTGTGAGGCCTCGTGGTCAAGTGTGCCGGCTTCACCACCGGCCGCGAGAAGCTGGAGCGCGCCATCGCCCTTGACTGTTGATGAACTAGCAGTCGCTGCTGATTTGATGTCGACATGTTTCTCGTCCGCGGAAGCAGCCGTGGACAATGCCATTGTCACGGATATGTCCTCTCAATACGCCGTGAAGTGGAAGCAGAAACCGCTCGTAAATTTTCCAGGGCAAATATGGAGCGATACGACGCTTTAAATCGGCATCTGGAATTTCTTGGCTCTAGTGTCGTATTTCGATGAGCATTCGTGGGGCGAAAAGCACGCCATCGTATAGACTCTTATCACATTGATAATAACAACTACCCGCTCTGACTCACTGATGGCTTCCATGACATGAGGTTATTAACAACATATCCATCTTTACGGATGATTTTTAATGCCCAAACGACTAGGTAAATTTGACCTAACCTAAAATCGGTCAGCATCGCACGGACCGCTGCATACCTAACATGCGCATAGACCACTAAGCATGAAATAAGTTTCTTTCTATGTCACGGGCTCACAATTGAGTAAAAGAATCAATTAACGTCAGCGCCAATGAACTATATTGTTGGATGCGTGCGCACACCAATTCAACTTGGACCGTCTCTGTTCGCAGGCATATATGTCCACTCGGAGGGGCCTGTTGCAGCCTGCAATTTATTCATGCTATGCCCAATTACTCGTTTGGATCTGCTCTAGTACCGAAAAGCAGCTCAACGGCCGAAGTATGGCTGCCTCAGGTCATTGCTCTAGATCCCTGAGCACCGAAAGCATAAAACCAACATCTGCCTCCTATTTCTTCCTCGACGTGAAATGGAACGGTCAATATGACAACCCGTGGTCGCTGAATCCAATATCGCCCCCTAACCTGCAACTTGATCATTGTTCCGTCAGTCCTTATTTAGCAGAAGATAAACGGTTCCTGTGTGGCAGCCTGCAGCAGCTACATGGAAAGCTGTTCTGTTTGGAAAAATGCTCGCCATGAGCATGCTGCTTTTTTCTTGGCGTTGCCCCATGGCCTTTGCCTCAGCCAATTAATTCATATCGAGATAATAGGCACATAAACAAGTCAGGACCCAATCGCATGACGGCGTGGTTTAAACGGCTCGTTCGTTTACATCCCTATATCTATGGTTGAGTCCAGCATTATCACAGGCTCGGCTTGATTCCCTCCCGCGCAAGGAATTTCCTAATTCCATAAGGACCATAATACCCCCCGTCCTGACGTATGGCATCCCATAATTTGGAAAGGACAGATACTAGGCTAGTACAGACAGGAAGCTTGTTTTCCATGGCCATAAAAGTAGCAATATAGTCCTTCTGCTCCTCCTGGACGATAATACACGATCCAATGTGAAACAGTGACCAAAGAAGTGTTCCCCATGCATAACTTGACGGCGATATTGTTTTTAATAGTTGTCTGGCCTCAGATACACAACACCAGATCTGATCTCGAATAGGCTGTGACGGCAACCCTGGACCATTTAGTGCACATCGCAGCGTTATCAGTAAGCCCATCTGCTGAAATATCGCAGCAGCTATCTCGTTTGCGTCAGGCCCTTTGGGGGGGCCTTGCCCACCCCATGGCGCTGGTACTGCCCATAGTAGGACTTGCTGTTCGAGGGAGTGGAACTCCACAATGATATCTGGATCAAGGTGTCGGGGAGAAGATATGGCTGGTTTCTCGGCAAAAGAAGCGATTCGTGGGATCATTTCAAATAGTTCGTACGCACACCCGGAACAGCGACCGCGATAATAAGCTCGGTATGAAAGTGGTGAAAGATCTAAACTTTGGCTTTCGGTCGGCCTAGAGCTGCTGGCTTTTATGGGGCCAAGGCCGATATGGCTATTGACATTACTGAGAAACATATACTGCTCTGCGATGAAACATGCGCAATCCTCATCGACTGTGTCTAAGAGGTTATCCTGTGACGCCAACAGGGCACAACATGGTAGTAAGTGTTGCATCACTGTGCCATTTGTGTCTCCGTCTATTATCTGAAGCCCTGGTTAATACATAATACTTTAAAACTCTGCCACGTGCCGATTGCAAGCGCTTATCAGATGTCACATTAGTTGTTGGATGAAGAGGAGCTCACCTCAAAATTACACAACGCTAGGAGCAACATCACTATCACCACGGGGTTACGATTGTATCCACTTCCATACTCTGTGATAAGATATTTGACTGCCCGTAGCGCAACTCCATAATGGGAAAGCGCGACAATATGTGATTGTTGATCATCATAAGACAGGTGAGAAGCGCTTATGGCAAAGACAGCATGAAGGAACCCGTCATTTTGCTGCGCCAAAGGCAACATATAGGCAAGAAAAGGGTTTTTGATGACATCTCTTATTACTAGCCTCTGTGCTGACCTCTCGATGTAATGCTGAAGCAGTCTTTGTTCACCCGACCTCCCATTGAGCCGGGGCCAAAGCGATAGTGCACGGTTCGGGGAGAGACGACGCAGTGATGTTGCATTCTGAGACTGTTCGGGGCGGTCAGATCCCGCAGACGCCGAAGTAATGATCGTCTTCCCCGAGTTGGGCCAGGTACAGAGCAAATGGTTGCGCACACAGCCGCCGCAGATTGGTTTAGTCTCATCGCACTTGGTGTGCCGGACCCGACAGCTTAGGCACCCGGATTTAGTCCTCTTGGCATCCTTTCGTCTGTAAGGACGGAAAGACCCCTCTCCGCGGGCGCTCTTGAATTGGAGTACCCCATGCATGGTAGCTTCTGGCCAATCCTTTGTTTAATAGTAGTGGAGAGAGGATACAAGGGATGTCGTTGGATCCGATATCCATGTTAATGGATGGTGAGTATTATGGATCACATTGAGCTATCCCTTATATGGTTAGGCAGTGGGTCCACAGATAACGTCGGTTATCCTTTTCTGGCATAGCCTCAGCTGCCCGCGATCAAGGTAATAGGCAAAGAAGGAGTTGATGAATAGCTTAATACTGAGTACTACACAGTAGATCATTCTTGATCCACGGTACTTTGAAACAGCGAAAATGAATTGGTACGTATCAAGTGGGTCTCAGGGCCCAGGAGCACCAGGTCCTTGTTCCGCCAAAATGGCGAATATATAAACAAGCCAAACCTAATTCCATCACTCTCCATCGGCCATTCTACGTTTCGGAGAGAGTGCCAGAGCTTGAGCTCTCCTCCAGTCACCATGTCACAAAAGCACCCCGAGTCTCCTCCCTTTTTTGACTTCATTGTGACCCCAGAGACCACACAAACCCCTCCAAAACAAGACTGTGGAGTTCGGACTACAACGGTAAGCACAATTTCATTGCCCATCACGCGAAACAAGGAATGAGAGACGGTTTCAATATCGAGCAATTGTGATAACACAACTTATCCTTATAGTCTCCTGCTATCAAAAATGCCCCTCTTCCTGCTGACGGTGCCGGAAATGACTCATGGTCCAATCTCCTCCTCTTTTCCCTATTGATCGGTGTGCCGTGGCTTATATCCTACCAATTGGGCGGTGGCCTCTACTTTGCAATTTTCATTGCAGTATGCACCACGATCCCCATCCTCATGGCTTTCTGGACGATCTTCTCCTCTATGTCCCCCCGTATGAACGAGAAGGCTAAGCTTCCAGGTCGGCCTGTGGAATATTATCTCAATTTCCATAAAGAGAGCGATCGGGCCCGGTACAACGGCAAGAAGAAGATCCCCATTGAGGTCTTCTACGAGAAGTATTTCCGTGGTGAGGTGGAGTTCAACAATGGAGATTGTCTGGAGAACCTCGAGTACCGCCACGATTGGGCTAGTTTCAGCTTCTCATGGGGCGTATTTAAGCATTTCCTGTTTGGCTTTGTTCCTGAACTCATCGTTCACTCTCGCTCGCAAGGTACAAATAATTCCTTGTATATCAATTTCATGGCTTTGCTTTGAACGAGAGACCAATTACATGGGATGTCCAGCTAACGCATGAATAGACGAGGAACAGGTGAGCGGCAACTACGACCGTGGCGACGATTTCTATGCATGGTTCCTGGGGCCCCGCATGATTTATACATCTGGACTCATTGGCGATGTCAACAAGGAAGAATCCCTCGAACAGCTTCAGGACAACAAACTTACTGTAGTCTGCGAGAAGATCGATTTGCAACCGGGTGACACCATGCTGGATATCGGCTGTGGCTGGGGAACCCTAGCTACCTTCGCCAGTGTTCACTACAAGGCCCATGTCACCGGTATCACTTTAGGTCGCAACCAGACAAAATGGGGCAATACCACCCTTCGCAACGCTGGTATCCCTGAGTCTCAAAGCAAGATTCATCGTCTGGATTACCGTGACTCTCCTCGGGTCCCCAAAGGATACAAAAAAATTACTAGTCTTGAAATGTCGGAACATGTGGGCGTTCGTCATTTCCGCGGCTTTTTGAAACAGGTCCATGATATGTTAGATGATGACGGTGTCTTCTATTTGCAATACTCCGGTCTTCGGAAATACTGGCAGTATGAGGACTTGATTTGGGGCTTGTTCATGAACAAATACGTTTTCCCTGGAGCAGACGCAAGTACGCCCCTGGGATGGGTCATTGATCAACTTGAGGGAACGGGCTTTGAGATTAAGGGCGTTGACACGGTCGGTGTTCATTACTCTGCTACCCTTTGGCGGTGGTATCGCAATTGGGTTGCCAACCGTGAACATGTGGAGGCTAAGTACGGTCCGAAGTGGTATCGCGTAAGTATTTGACTTTATCTTTGCTTTCTTGAATTTCTTTTCTGATCATTTTTAGACCTGGGAGTGGTTCCTGTCCTGGGCCACTATCGTCTCCCGCCAGGGAGGTGCAACATGCTACCAGATCGTCCTGGTTAAGAACATCAATTCTACCCATCGGGTGGATGGTATTCCCAGTCAGTTTGGTATCTCCGGCGCTATTAGATCGGCGATTGAGAAGCTCGGAAAGTTCCCCAGTGCGTTTATTCCTTAATCTGCTATCTGGAAATAGTACAACTGCTGGGTGGTTACTCGCCTTGGGGATTCGCCTAGGGTATGAATAGAAGAAGGTTGGTATGCGGTTATGTATGACGCATTAATGGGAGTATAACTGTTATGTGATAATGAAGCTGAGTCTTAATATCGACGCTGTATTTTTGTCATGTACTATTTCTCTAGAAAGCTATGATAAAATGTTGTTTCCCAAAATCAAAAATGCAATCTCCTATCATAATGGCTACAATAGGAATGATCCTTTACTGCTTCCAGTCGTCGCCGCTGGTAAAGGCCGGCATATTACCGATGGAGATATCCTACGCTTAGCTTAGTTCCTCCATGATGGTGAATGTTGGATAATGTTGATATAAACTGCGTCGAACAAGATCGGCGCTCACATTTGAACTTAATTCTCCCCAACCAAATCAGGAAGCCTTCTCCCTGGTTGCCACGCTTAGGGCAGTACGCAGTATCGTTATTCCCAGTATACCTCTTAGGTTAGTAAAGGACAGCTTGGAATGGCCTTGCTCACTTTGCCCCATTCATACATTAGTGTATCTGGAATACATCAAGGGCACCCGTCCGTGTCGGAGTACCTAGGTCAGTTGGTACGAGGGCCAGTCAGCATTGCCGTGGACATGTTGAACTGCATGATTGCAAGATAGAGGGCGGGGAATGGAATGAAAAGCTTTTCAGTTGTGGGCTACGGGATCGCCGACTTGTTTCAGCATCTAAGGTACATAGGCTGAGGATCGTTTGCATTCACCATTGTGATGGAGACCGATTTATAGTCAGCTTCACAGGATGTCCCATTAAAACCATCTACCAGTCATCGCAACGGTGATTGACCTGCAAAGGCATAAACAGCGTAGTAATGTGACCCAATGACTCCCAACTAATTTCCTCTCACCTGTCCCACCTATCATTCACTATGCCTGTATATTATGTCGGTGTTACTTGGATCGATGGTATCGGTTGATGAGAGGATGTACTGTACTTCTGGGTAGCAGGGGTCGCAATCAAGTCACAGTGACTGTAGAAGTATGACATGCGCTTTTCAACGAAAATGTATGGGACCTTGCAGCATAGTCATTCTGTCAATAATGCGCCTTCTCTCTTGTTACGAGCACTGATAAGGCCAAGCGCAGCAAAGCCAACTCTGGGAGGCAGGAGGAAGGAAAAGGAGGGGAAAGAGGGGGGGTTTATACTCCGGCGACTTCCAGCGGAGCCTGGGAGCCTGAAGCTCATATACCCTCAAAGGTAACCCGAAAGCTCTGATTAGGAAGGTGCGATCGACTAATTCATTCACAGCTAGCTTGCTAATATACTCTTAGATTACACATCGGAAAGCAAAAACAATTGACCTAGTAATTCGAAGACTAAATTCCCATTCTTGCTCAATCTGAAAAATGCTTGCTACCAACGCTCTTCCTCGTCAACAACAGCCCTTACGTAGCAAGTGCCTCAACAACCTCCTTAGCACCTCGATCTCCCGACCTCACTGCACCCTCCATATACCCCTTCCAATGCAATGCAGTCTCCGTCCCCACAAAATGCACGTTTCCAAACGGCTTCCTCACGGCATCCTTACCAGCCCGAGAAATCACACCCGGGGGCGTACCCGGCTCAGGCCCACCCAGGAAAAAGTCCTGCTTGGTCCACTCATACTCGAGCACATTGATGGGTTCCGGGACCTTGATCTTTTCTCCGGATGGTAGGTCGGTGTTTTCAAGCGCGGAGCGGAGCTGTTCCCACGTTGTCCGACGTCTTTCTTCCTGCGAGAGCAGGGACCATTCACGTCCACGACGTCCCACTGTAAAGCAGGCGATGGACCACTGCTCGTCATCGGGGAAGCTGTTGTCCATGGTGAAGGTGAAGGGTCCTGTCTGCGATTGGATGGCCCCGGTGAGGCCGGCGGTTCGCCAAAAGGGTTTGTCAAAGACAAAGATGATTTTGCTGTAGTACCCTAGTTTATTTTCTCTTGCGAGAAGCTGTTTGTATTCAGGGAGGGGTGGGTCGAATGTAATCTTCTTGTAGAGGGGAGTTGCAACAGATAGGATAACTTTCTTTGCGTGGAAGGTCGTGTTGTTTGCTGTGTGGACGGTGCAGGTTCCTGTGGCTGGGTCTTGTTTGATTTCGGTTACAGGACTTGAGAGGTAGATAGAACCTGGCTTTAGTTCCGCTGCCATGTTCTGGGAGATGATTTGGTTGCCTTTTAGACTAGTGTTAGCATCGTAGGAATCATGTACAGTATATGGTCGGTATGCTCGATTTCTTACCCTGTCGGACGCGGAGCTGCTGGCCTCCATCTTTACCGTCCGAGGTTATAGCCTCGAATCCAGTGCCGGCCTTCATAGAGTGCAAGAAAGCCAGCAAACTCATATCCTTGGCTTCCACACCAATCAGAGATTGGATGATGGTATCGAAGAGACCCGCAATCAACTCAGATTGGAAAGCCTGGATGCAGTATTCCTGCAGACTGACGCTGTCCAGCTCCTTCGCGTTAGGCCCTGAACCGGGGTCTTCCACATTGACATTTGAAATGAGCTCATTAAAATGCGCCAGCACTTGAGACAATGCTTTCTTCTCTTCCTCGCTCACCTAGAAACACGTGCACGTTGATTAGCACCGAGCAGCCACATATACTTGCCGAAGAATGGACGGGTACCTACTGGAAGTTCACCGTGTTTAAACAAAACACAGCCATCTGGGCTTTGGAAGATGTCATGGCCGGGAATAGCTTGGGTTTCCACTTGCAGTCCATACATCTGGACAAGTTTATAAATCTCACTTTGCGTGGTGTCATTGATCCAGGCGGCGCCGACATCGTTGAAACCGGGACCACTTTTCTTGGACGGCACGGTCAATGTCTTACCCCCTACGCGATCGACAGCTTCAACAACTGCATAGGAGAGCCCGGCTGCCTGCACACCCAATGCGGCCCGTAGCCCGCTGAGTCCAGCGCCGATGACTACCACGTCAACGGTCTTAGGAGAATTGATGTTTGCCTGAGAAGCCATTCTAATGAAAGCCAGATATTATGATGTATATAGAAAAGAATGAGCAGAATTCAACAAGACGACCATCAGTCAACAACATCAACATTGACTTTATATGCTTCTGGTCCAACTGACGTAGGCTACCCAAATTGGAAAGACATGCGCCGAAGGCGATAAGGTAGCGCGATAAGGATAGACGAGCTTATCGATAAGATCAGGTCCTGCGGCTTCCGTCCTATCACAGCACACCACGAAAGAAAGATCTACATATTAGGGGTCCAGACGATTGATCAGCAGGCTGCATTCATTCAGCGCGTTGACGACAAAACAAAAATTTGAGTGCTGGACCATTCTGTTTAGAAATGCCGAAAGGATATGCAGTTACCTCGAAGACTCGGTTACTGGACTGCATACAGGCAGCACGTGATGACAAAGCAGGATACCATTTGAGGCGTTTTCAAGCGCCATTCAGCCCTGAGACCTTATTCCTGCCATATAAGGTGAAAGCAAGGACTTCCAGCCTATGTCGTCGTCATTTACCTATAAAGGGACACTCTCTGGATCGTGCGCGATTGGAGGCTGCAGCTCGTAAACATCTGACGCGAGCTCATAAGAAAAATTATTACGCACATCTTACTAAGTAAGGAATCCATGAAGGTGAGATAGAATTCCCTCAAAGTGTTGATACGAGATGGGTGTTGTGTTTTGTTGGAGAGTGAACAATTACTTCTGAACAGCTGCTGGGGTTGAATCATTCGTATTGGCCTAGCCTTGAGCACATATGGTGAATAAGGTTCAGTGGGTGGCTTTATTCATAGCCTTCAAAGCTATCAGCATATATGAGGAACATGATGAAGCAACCTTCTTTGTATAGTATCCCCCTTTGTGTACTCGTCGTCCGGGAGGGTACCTTTTGTATGAGGATGTTTCGAGCATCACCACAGCTTGAAATAGTAATTTTGCATCCTGACTGGGTAGTAAAGTTTGTGTAAGGCTCACCGCAGGCATGTTGCTTGCCGCGTAGAAGAACCGTATCAGCTGTATGTAAGCCCGTGTTACCATTAGGCGACAAGTCCGATATAAGGCTTTGTGGGTATATAAAGCCCAAGGTGGCCAATTGTATTGGGGTATGTATTAATATTAACTATGTTACACTGTAAATATTCTCGTCAGATAGCGTCGATATCCATCATAACCTTCGCATCACGCGTGTTCATCCACCAGGATAATACCCTTAGCCCAAACCTTACATAGGTCATAATGCTCAGCATATTCATTCCCGAAGGCAACAATGGCCGGATGCACTATAATCAAAGCATTCTTGCCGTCTAATCTTGTATCGTTCCCATGTTGACGATGAAGTGCATGTGCACTCATTACCGGGTGCTCTGCCCGAAAGACAGGGAGCTCATCCAGACAGTAACACCTCATGAAGGATCGTTGCGTCCACAGGGAGATGGCCAATTCACCCGCGGTGTGGTAAAGCTGGTAGAGTTCCTGGTTGCGCTGGATCGCCCATGAATCATTTCGGTCTCGGAAGAGTAACTGAACTGGACCAGCGAGGAATTCAACCGCAAGCTCACTAGTAATAGCTTCCACCTTCGCGCGCAATAGTGCATTGTGCACAGAGTTCGGGGGAGGTGTGGCCAAAAGCCGGAGAGTTTGCGAACGCCAGATGTGGGCTTCTTCCTTGTTGACTACGTTTGGTTAGAATTCAGTAGGCAGTTTCCATGGTAGCTCAAGAGACATACCATCCAGCATCGATGCGTATAAATAAGATAATGTTTGGGCAGAGTGCGCCGTTGATGGTTCTTTAGACTCTCCGAAGGCAAAGAAGGGGTTGGCGAAAATGGATCCAAAGATATCCTTGGCTAGCAGCGCCTGCATAAGAAGGGCTGGGATGTTGTTTGCCATCGTGGGCACCTTCTTGATTAGTGTCCTCCAATCCACTGGCGCGCAATATCCACTCAACCGTTCCAGGATGGCGTCCTTCTCCTCGATCGGCAAGCTATCAAGCGCACGTATCTCACCGACACTATAATTTTCTGCCCATTGTCGCATTGCTGCCTCAAGACTCGACAGTTCTTCGCGTATTTGCCGGCTGCTTTTGGTGACCCAAGAGCCGCTCCTTGCAGAGCGAACTTGCGCCTGTAGTCGTTTTCGATCATTGTCCAATTCGGTAATTCCTCTCGCCAAGGCAACGATATGGCTCTCCATCTGTTTAACTTTACCGTCACGCGTTCGGGGATTCTGGGCGGGTTCGGCCTTGGTTGACGGATGGAGACCTTCCGGGTCCCCTAGCTCGGTGGGATTGCGCTCCGGGTGCTCATCCATGATCTGGCTCGGTTTCATAGGAGGCGAACCCCCCGATATTGACTTATTTTTTCGATGCGTTGCGTGCTCCGAATTGGACTCGGAATCTTGTTCGGAACGGGGACCTCGACTCTGATTAAATGTGCGCTGTTTCACTCGAGTCAGGACCGTGCGACCGGGCGTAAACAGAGTTTATACATACCGCTACGAAACCGCATCCCAGGAGAGATTTTTTCGTATGAATACGCGTGGCAGACCTTGCGATCATCCCTCGTCCGCTTCCATGCTCCTTGTGGGCGTGTTCTGCGTCGTAGTCATGGCTGGACTGTGTCTGAGGCGGAAAGAACGTTGCAATCAGCATTTTCCGTGTTTCCGAGCAACCATGCGGTTCGGCCTACCTTTTCACCGGCTTCCATGTGCTCTCTCTTATCGACTGTGTGCTGGGCCATATTCTGCGTCTGCGATCATATAACGCGCTGAGTTTTGAGATAAATGGGAGGAGAGAAAGATGGGGGGGGGGGGGAGAGCGCTCTCTCATCAGCTTGAAATCCTGGAGAAAAGCGACATCCGTTGGGATGTCGTCATTGGTCGCCCCCAAAAGGGGGGGAGGAAGAAAGGAATCAGGGGAGAGCAAGAGCAGTCGGCGCATCATCGGCCTAGTTCGGGGTCTGTGGACGACTAAAAACAAAGGAACGGCTTCAGGAGCTGCAGGGCGTCACCAGTCATAGACGGCGTGTTTAATTCGGCGGCAATGTAGCACAGTGAAGGTAATAATTCTATAACACTAATGGGTGGGGACCAGGATCACAAAGTGGCCCTAAGATCAGTTCTGCAGCCGTTAGGGCAGCTTATTCGGGCCTATCAGTCTGGCCAGCTGCACCGTCAGCCGGTCTAGGCCAATGAATGGTCCAGTGCGACTGCGCAAGGTTTCTGCTCCCTGTCCATTTTTGTGACTCTTGAACTAACGAGGGCGCAGGCCTCGAAGGAATCGCATCAAGCGATACAACAGAAGTTGGACAATTGCCAAGTCGGTGGTGCGTCCGGGTTGTATGTAATCAAGAAAAGAAGGGCTAAAAGTGGAAACAAATAAATAAATATCCGATGTTTTACGAGTCAGGCACGCTAAACCGGTTGCGGGAGGTCTCGCGTCAATCCGCCCGCGATTACTTCGGCGGCAACTGCTGACCATTGACAGATTCACGTCTAGACTGAAGAGAGAGTTGTCTTTTTCGTAGGGAATAGGGAGTAGTATCTTCTGGCACTTATTGGCCTCTCGCTGTAGATCTCCTTTTTCGATCTAACACGGTTCTAAAGGAATTCTATCAGACGCATGGTCATCCACTATACGTACTATTATATATAAACAGCGCGTGATATCCTACCTCCTACATACTACGACATATTTATCATCAACTTCGGTCACCGAGTTCCTTGGAATATGTGCAAAACATAAAGTAAGAATTAATGTGAGCATAAGCCACACTCTATTGATGCACATGTAGAAGCCTCAACCCTTAAAGGGTTTGATTCTGGTGGTAGTTTGACCTCTCTTTGATTCTTGTTTACAGGAAATATCGAACGAATACACACCAACCTCCACTTTCCCGCATTTAACAAAGTAGACCGAGTATTTTTATATTAACTATTGTCAATTAAGAGAATATTATACCTATGAGGGGCATAAAACTTTCCTATTACGAAGAGCTCACAAGCCACGAGTTCCAGCCGTGGCGCATTAATGTGGCGGTGTCATGGAGCACAAAATAATGCCTGAGGCAGGGAGAATTTCTAGTGAGGGGCTGTTATTTAGCCGTTTTTTGTCTACTATCAAGAACAGTACCCAGAGCCCCTAACCCGCATCTTTTTAACTCATCCAATCTACTACTCTGGATTATATCAGTCACGTCCTTGAGAACCACATAGTTTGATTAGAATATTCTCATAGCTATTATTAGTTCAATAATCCGTACCTTCAACGGTAAACGCTCAACGTGGCCGGAATCAGAATTGCAGTCAATGTTCAGGCTATTATGTGAGACCCGAAGGTACCACGGCAGACCTGGGAGGTCAATATCGTCCATATTTCTATCAGCAACGATGAGTAAAAATAGATAGATACAAATCTAGTCTGAGCGACCCAGCTTGCATTTGTGCACAGCCTACTTACCCAACCTGCTCACGGTGCAGATACGATTTAGTCTTGGTGCCTGTTCAGTAACAAATTGCATACACGCCTTTCTGTTCACCAATTTATAACTAGGTAATTTAGTATACGGGATATAAGTGAGTAAAGTGGTCCCCGCAATATTGAGAGACATACCTACGTCATGAATAAGACCAATACATCTCCATACGTGAGCCGCCGCCTCCGTGGGGACATCACTAACACGCTAATGCGAGGTGAGCCTCTAACGCAATGCACTGATCTACGATCGCAAGAGTCGCCGCAATTACCTCGCTTGTTATCTTTCAATGTAGACAAGAAGTTAGCCATACGTACACTTGCTTTAATGGAGTGCTGTCGAGGGAAGTCCAGCGAGGCTCACTTTCTTTGGGTAAACGACTTCATATGGATCGAAGTGAAGCCAGTCTGATGTAGGTGCCCTCGGTGTATCTGGGGAGATGCTGCCTCGGCCCAAGACATGTGGGACGCAAGCTACTATGGTAGGGTACGAACGGCCGGTGATGGGTTTAAGAATCAGGTCCTTGACTGAAATTCTTCTTTTCAATTTCTTGGGTATGAACTAAGAATAGAAAACGACAGACACAAAAAGGTTATGTTGACTGAATATGGCGTTGGATAGCCTCACAAAACTACTGGAGTTAGGAAGCGGTATAGGACTTACCACAGCGATCTTGTTCATTCTACTAAAGTTCCATCCGCACTCTACTACAGTACGGACTTTACAATGGCTGAACTCCCCGACAAAATTACCATAGCCAATCTTTACTACCATTCCTTTGTCTTCCGCAATTGTTGAATTTCCGTTGCATACATAGAGGGAAGATAATCTCACATGACACTGATCAACCACGCCCCTAGACTACCACGTCTAGAAGAGTAATAGGTATCGAACATGAATAACCCAAAATACCCGACGTATAAATGACTCGACATATACGAACCCAAGAGAACCCTTCCCACAGTGACGTCAACGCCGAACAATCGATTCTGTGCGTCCTACAAATGACACCCCGGACAGGGACGTAGTATTGTTCTTCACCGCGGGTCAAGGATTGTGGGGATTGAGTTTGATCTATTTATATAACTACGTTATTCCTGTAGTATCATTCAAATTGGGGTCGGGGCAACTTGGGCCGTTGATAAGGTTCTCATTTCTTTGTCTCGACCAAGTCTACGTAGCCGTAAGTCAGGAACCAGGACGAAAGCATAATCGGTCAAGCAACGGGGCAAACTTCAAGGTTTGCGGAACAAAGAACCTGAAACTGCTAGTTATGTATTCGGGAGTCCATGGATGATCTCGCTTTTGTTCTTATTCTTAGTCTACATTTGCGGCTTGATGCATTGGGTGAACAAAAGATGGGAGTTGGATAAGGTTTAGCTGAGTGACGGGAGGCTATACATTGCATTATGGATGGCAATAGCATCGAGGATGGTAAAGACAGTGACAGTCGCGGAAACGGCTGTTTTGGATATAGATATTCTTCACTATAGGTCTGTATGTTATGGCGTCGTGCTATATACAGTGCATATCATATTCTTGTTGGTCACGATGTATGCACTCAGAGTGGGCCTGAGCTATACTTTATCTTGGTAGATTCATTAGTGTGGCCATCTATCGCCCTGCCCAGGCCGCCACGGGGCAAAGAGTCCCACCGTGACCAAGTGTATATTCAATATTGATCAAGACGGTTTGGCTGGTCTGAATGCACCCGTCAGTGAATTATTGTACGGCTATCCGGCAGACGCCATCAATGGAATGGTTCTGAACCGTGGGGATGCATTCCAAATGTATTGGCTCAATCAACGTGAAAGTGGATACAATAGTCAATCAACCCCGGGAAAGCCTCTGGTTCTTTCACTGACATCATTCGGTCAAAGTGAATGTTCTCTAGATGCAGGTTATAAAGCCTCCATCATGCCCCGTTGCGTTGTCTCCTTTCTGTACAATTCAGCCTCTCAACTGTGATCTATCCCGCAACGCCATTTTTCTTCAGCGATTTACGACACCTTACGTTCTCACGAGGATCTCACGATGAAGGCCTCAACTGTCCTCCTGTGTGTCTTTGCCGCTTTCGTGGCCGCCACTGAGGGCGATCCCACGGTGGTTGACAGCAATCCTACACCCACCCAAGGTTAGTGTCTCCTAGCTTCAGTACACTTATACTTGACACAAAGCTATGGTCTCTGCCCCTTCTTCCGTCACACCGACTAACCTCTATTGTAGCCCAGCGCACAGTCGCCCCTACCAGTCCTATCAAGTTCTCCGACCTTACCCAGGAGGAGGCGCAATTTGTCTTTCAGTACATGAGGGAGCAGCTACATCCACCAGTCCCGGGTACAGAAATGCCCGGAGGTTGGAAGTGGCCAGCGAAGCGTGAGGATTCCTCTCAGCCTGGGATCGAATTTGACCCTGAGCTGTCGAAACTTATGCACAAAATCGACACCTTGCCCAAGCCCCAAGGAAAGATCAACCATTACATTGGAGAAAAATTGGAAGTGAAGAAAGACTCGAATGAGGATGAGGACGACAGTGCTGATGACGAGGGCACTTCTCCTGCTAGCCCCCTCGAGAAGAGGAAGCAAAACCCCTGCAAGCGTGGTTGCAGAGCTGATGTTCATTGCTGCCCTGGTGACAGGTGCTTCTATGGAGTTTGCCTGGGCCCTCAGAAGCCGCCTCGTGATGTCAAGCGTGAGATCTACGAACGGTATGCACCTGCGGATGAGACGACGAAGTCAGGAGAGGATGATGAGAATGTGGATGGTACCCGTTTCGGAGAGCGGGACGACCGATGCGCTCGTCACTGTGAGAATAACAGCGCCTGTTGCAAGAGCGACAAATGCGTCATGGGTGTTTGCTTGGGTGCTGGCCAATTCCCCTGAGTTGCAAAGATCTAGCTTCTAATATGACGGACATAACGAGGTGGTGGATAGTTTGCTTGTGCTGGAGAAGGACGACTGGAAGTAAGGATGCTGTTGCTTGCAGGCAAGAATAGGAAATATCTTTAGTGTATTTCATCAGTTTTTGAATCGTCTTCAACCCAGAGAATCTCATTATTATTTGATCTTTAACTTCGTAGAAATACAGGCCTGTGAGCCTATACAATGTGTGGAAAAGATTAATCTACGTTAGAAAGAGAGGCTAGGTATGCGTCGTAGCTGAGTTCCGAGAGAAAAGTGATATACGGGTAATCTTTAGAAAGAGGTGTGACTGTATTACAGTTCAAGATGCGTCTCTACATTAAAGGACATATCGACTACCAATAATCCTATGGTTAGTGAAGTTGAAAACGAATCGGAGGGAGCACATACAAGGAAAGGTTTTCACGATCCGTCAAGTCCAGTTGGTTCTTGTCCACCAGACGGGCGTGTTTGGTACCATCACTGTCGACCTCTTCAACCACACCCGTGTCTTCGACGAGTGTTTCACTCTGCAGCAGATCACGGCGCTTGTTTTCCTTCGAGAGATACCATCGCAGATATATAATGATGAGTGATGGTAGGATGCAGGCGACCTTTAACAGTAAGTATGTGACTTAATGAAATGCTCATTTAAAGACTTACAACTAATATAATAGTCCAAGTGGGATAATACCGCGGCTATTATTTGCCTCATTAGCCAAAATAAAAGTAGCGAACAGCAGGACCAGAGTCACTTGTGCATACCTTCCATCGCGGCTGGAATAGCTGTGGTGAGAGGATATTTCCTAGTCCATATCCAATATGATACATGGCAATCACAGTGGTCTTCTTAGTATGTCCAGCAGATGCATTAGCAGCCCATATCATGACAACTGCATACGGAATGCCGACAGTTGAGCGGATCCATATCCCTGTGATTAGGCCCCATCGATTAGACCAGGGTAAACTTAGCAACAGGATGCTAGATATCGCTCCAGGAATGTATGCGACGAGGGAAATCCAAGCCCTGCAGTTCTAGTAAATCCTCGTTAGCCTGGTCGAGTTTCCTTTCTCTGGCCAAACCTACTGTTGTCTTCGCTAGAACCACTGCCGCTGAGGCAAGCGAGAAGAAACTGACTATCCCAGTTACACATCCCAGTAGAGTAGTCTGAAGCACAGTGAAACCGAATGAGTTAATGATTAGTGAGTATTGGTTGGTCATTCCGTTGGCCATTTCCTGAGACCAGGCATGTAGGAAGAACAGCCACGACTTTGGATCTTTAACTGCTTCGATAAATCTAAGAATTGTCAGTTCCTGAGCAAGACTGACGTTATATGTGTGAATGTAAAGGTTACAGTGGTATCATACTGGTACTTCTTGAAATGCTTCTGCTCGATTCCCGAATGATTATCCTTTATCCGAAGGATTGCCTGCGCGCGCTCTTCTGGCGTAAGGAAGCTGGCACGCAGAGGATTGTCAGGAAAGAAGAGCCACACGGCCAATCCAAACACAACGGTAACTCCGCCAGTGATAACTGCAATTAGATAAGTGTCTAGATCGATTGTTTGCTCCTCATGTGAGGGACATACCCATAAACCATTTCCATGGGGCAAAGGTGCCGGTCTTGATCCATAAAACTCCATAGGAGAGTAGACCAGAGGTAATAGGACTGGCGTTTCCAATCGACCACATGATGGGCATTAGAACGGCCTGTTCCTGATATGTGAAGAACATAGACAAGATCAACAGAAAGGCAGGTACAATACATGCCTCTGCTACCCCTAGAAAGAAACGAACAACGAACAAGGTGGCGAAGCTATTGCATGGTATATGAAGGAGCGTAATACCTCCCCTGATTAAATTAGCAGAAACGCCAATGAGAACAGTAAGAGAATAGCTGGTTTTTACCACACGACAAGATTTCCTGCCAGCCATTTGGCGACAGGGAAGCGTTGTAGGGCCCAGTTCTGCGGCCACTCCGCGAGAAGGTAACCAAAGTAGAATATTGATGACAGCCAATTGTACTGAGTCGAATTGAGATGTGCATCATCCATAATGCCGAGAATGGCTGAGTTTCCCAGCTGGAGAAAGGACGGATGTCAAACATTGCTGGTACAATTCTGCAAGAGGATACGTACCGTCTGCTTGTCGACATACATGATATGATACCCTAAGCAAAGAAAGGGCAATATCCGCCATAAACACTTGTTCCTAATCTTTAATGCCTCTTCTGCGGTTGGATCTGTCACAGAAACTTTTGAAAAGAGCTTATAGCTCTCATCAGCATATCGTTGGCTGAGCTTAGGTGGCTGAGCAGCATCGTTGACGGTTCTGACTGAGTCTGAGACCGTTGTTTTCGACATTGTCGCTTCAAAATCGAGTAACCGGTCGATCGTGTCAAAGAAAGCTGGGCCACTTTTGGAACTCTGGCGATGGGGTGGTTTTTGTTCTACATATCGCGATGTATACGAATACTCCAGCAGGATAGACTATCCTCTGCCCAGACATGAAGTGCTTGCTGAATTCGCCCGGATCCTTGCAGCCTTTGGCTTAGACTCCGGATAAGCTGTAAGCTAAATGTTTCGAGCCAATGAGACTGACACGTTGGTAAAGCACACGATTCGCTCTATTGGCGTCATATCACGCAAAGTTCGGCAATCGATAGCAAACCACTGCGCCGCTATCGGCCAGAGTTTATTCAACAACATAACCAGATGCATCAACCGTTCTTTTAATTCGTATTGGGTCCAGCAACGGCTATCAAGATGCGGGGATGGGCAAAGTCGGGGCGAATCCGCTAACTTAGTGCCCTACTCACACAGCCTTGCATGATTCATGCACGGCTTGCGTGCTTTCACCCCTACATAATGATTACAAACATCAGATAAGGACTACTGCCGAAAGTACTTGTCCTTAACTTTTACTTATTGGTCCAGCCCCGGTGTGAAACTCTATAACGAGCAACGATCCTCCATATCCTGGTAGTGTTCAATCACCAGTACGGATCACTTACAACAAAATGTCCCAAGAAACGGTAAAAGTTATAATTGCCGGAGCTGGAATTGCTGGCCTCTCCGTAGCCGTCGCATTAAGACGTCTTCCGTATATTGAGATTGAATTGTTTGAACAAGCGACCGAGCTTCGAGAAATTGGCGCCAGCATTGCCATAAGCCCCAATGTAAGTCTGCAATCGCAAAGTTGTTACTCAACTGACAATGGTTGTTCAAGGGCCTTCGCTCACTCGAGAAGCTCGGTGTATTAAATGCTCTCGACGAAGATGTTGCTTTTCGTGGTCCTTCTGCTATTCCTATGATTTACAGGTAGCGGGCCCGGCTTATGTTTCTTACCATATCAGATGCTCAGCGAAACTTACGATATCAATTCAATTAGACATTGGAAGACAAATGAGGTTATACACCAGGACTACTTCGCTGACGTTACTGTCCGTCGCCACGAAACAGCAAGATTCCATCGTGGACATTTGCATGCAGCACTACTGGAACATGTCCCCTCGGATCGCATTCATCTTAGCAAAACGGTGGTTTCCGTGGAAGCATCTCACGACAAAGTAACACTTCACTTTGCGGACGGAACTTCCGCACAAGGCGATATTTTGATTGGCGCGGATGGAATCCATTCGGTATGTGCATTCATCATGTGGAATGTCTAGCCAAAGACAGGCAGCTCATAGTAGACTAGAAGGTGAGGAAATCATTCGTCCCCGAGCATCAACTGTTTTCAACCGGAAAGGTCTTTCTACGATCGACATTCGACGCGTCTCTTGTCGCACATATTCGGGATCTTCCGTTAGATTCCACGCATTGGGTAGGCATATGTTGTGCGACAATTCAGGTTCGTGGAGCTTACTAGGTTGAAACAGTGGGGACCAAAGGAGAACTTTTTCGCCTCTCGACTTGGTATCGGCCCGTCATCCTAACTATTTTCAAAGATGTAGCTTACCATGCGGCAGGGAAGAACCAGTATACCACTGTCGGCAATTTCGAGTTACCGGTAAACACGGGCGGTAGGACCAGGAATGTACAATGGAATGACGAGGAAAATGTTGAGATACTACGACAGCGCTACAAGGTATTTGTATCTGGGATCTGAGAAGTACATGGTTGTTGACGAGCAATTCTTACTAATCAGGACTGGAATCCCTTGGTCAAAGCCTTAGTGGATGCAACGCCCTACACGCGCATTTATCCGAATCACGCTGGCGAGCCTCTCTCAAATTGGGTGCTTGACTCACGAGTGACCTTGGTCGGTGATGCAGCGCATACTCACGGGGGTGCCTTTGCCGCGGGAGGCTCGCTAGCCATTGACGACGCTTATGCACTATTTCTTGCCTTTCGACATGTTTTGGGCTCGTTCCGAGTTCAGAAGCCAAGGGCATATGAGGTCAGAGATGCGCTCGCCTTGTACGATGAGACGCGGCGTCCGCATACTGAAAGGCTCTTAAAAATTGTTCTCAACGGTATTGGGGCCCAGGCAACAAACAAAGACTCCGACGAGATTTTAGTAGAAAGAGTTCGGAACAAACCAAACACAACATGGCTTTCAGAGCACGATGTGGAGAAAACATTTCAGCGCGTCTTACAAAACAGATCTGTGCCTGGGGATAATCCGGTAGAGCAGACTACAAGTAAGCTTTGAAATATTTGTGGCATAAGATGAACGTTCTGTGGCTGTTGTAGTAGCGATGAGATAGATATCTGCTGCTACTTAGTTACTGGCTGACTACCGAGTATATTCGTACATTAGTTAACATACAATACTAGTGTTGGTTACTAATTAGACTGAGAGCATTGACTGTCAAGCCTTTACTCAGTAGTAGAGCGTGAACACGTAGAGTGGCTTGAGCACACGTTGACATTCAAGCTGATTCATGCTTCAGAGTCCAGCTGCCACACGCCTTCGGAAAGTGATCACTATCTCCGTCCAATTAAGGAGGCGTATCTCTAATAAATTATGCCGAGAATCGGGTCTGGTGGTGGTGAGCCCTAGTGCCGATGGCATCATAGGATACTTCAATGTCACAATTCCCCATTGCGGGTGGCTTGACCGCGCCTCAATAAATTACCCAAAACGGTCACATTCTGGCTTACCTCCGCAATGCATTATTATCGATCTAACCGAGCTGCCCCTTATCGCCGATTTCCGAAGCTCGCCAAGGGAGCCTATGTACCACTTGTTCCAAAAGATGCGTGCGATTGCCGACGGTGGGATTGACCTTAGCACAGACTAGATCGCCCCCAGCCAGGAATCCCAGTAGTAGTTTGGGTTTTCAGAGTCCAAGCCCAAAGAATATATAGTACTATAGTAACTTCCTAGGTCATGCACTTATTACTATGCTTCTGGGACCAGGAGAGTTATATCCTACTCGTTCAGGATGCCTGTAGTCCATCTACCTGGCACAACGAAGACCGCCAGTGAGACTGTCTCAGCAGTGCAAAATGAGACAGACTCATCTAGCGACCGTGAAATAGCGCCCCTAGGAGAGCCATCCAGCGGGCGAAGACTTTGGTTTCAAAAGGGTCGAAAGTACGATCCCGACGCAATTGCAACTCAGCCTTCGGTCTATGATAATCCAAACACCGCACAAGAATATCAGCCAGGCGAGGATTGGGAGAATTTGCATCGATTTGACCCATCCGCAAGATGGACTTGGGGCGAGGAAAACCGGGTAATCCGCAAGATTGATACTCGAATCATGATATTTACCGCTATCATGTTCATGGCTCTAGAGTTGGATCGAGCAAACCTTCACCAGGCATTAACAGACAACTTCCTCAAGGACTTGAATCTCACCACTAATGGTTGGTCCCAATAGTATCACCAAAGTCCATACAAAGCACTAATGAAACAACTAGACTATAATTTGGGGAACACTGTTTTCAAACTCTCTTTCCTCTGCGCGGAACTTCCCTCTCAACTCGTCAGCAAATGGATAGGACCGGACAGGTGGATTCCTACGCAAATGACCCTTTGGTCGGCGGTTGGTATGGCTCAATACGGGCTCAAGGGTCGATCGTCCTTCCTCGCCTGTCGGGCTCTTCTTGGACTTCTCCAGGGTGGATTCATTCCCGATGTGAGTTGGCAACACAGGACCACTTGCTCATTCTGCTTATACGAGACAGATCATTCTTTATCTGTCCTATTTCTATAAATCGCATGAGCTATCTGTCCGACTTAGCTTTTTCTGGACAGCTTACAACCTGGCTGATATCCTCGCCAGCTTTCTAGCGTTCGGGCTATTGCGCCTACGTGGCGTTCAAGGCCAGGCAGGCTGGCGATGGCTATTCCTCCTTGAAGTACGGAACACAATTCCCCTAAGGTCTTGACAATAGCTAACAGTAATAAAAAAAAAAAAGGGCCTCATAACCCTGCTGGTTGGCCTCATCGCTTTCATCCTAATGCCGCCAGGACCTTGTCAAACTGCCAACTGGTCGAGAGGTAAGAAAGGCTGGTTCACTCCACGGTAAGTCCTTCTTCACCACATACCTCGCTTCCATTTTCACCTGATACAAAATCTAACAACGTCCTCCAGCGAAGAAACAATAATGGTAAACCGCATCATCCGCGACGACCCAAGCAAAGGCACAATGCACAACCGCGAACCCATAACACCCAAACTCCTCTGGAAAAGTCTCTGCGACTACGACCTCTGGCCCCTCTACGCTCTCGGCCTCACATGGCTCACTCCCATGACGCCACCCGGTCAATATCTAACACTCACACTACGAGGCATGGGCTTCAACACATTCGTTACAAATCTCCTCACGATCCCTTACACATTCGCCCAGATCCCCACCATGCTTATCCTCACATACCTATCGGAGAGATTCGGCCAGTTGACCTGGGCAGCAATGTTCACTCAGTTCTGGGCCCTGCCATTCGTGATCTACCTCTATGTTGTCGATATAAATAGTATCAATAAGTGGGTTGCATGGGTTATTTTGACTATTTTCTTATCTATTCCTTCAGGTATGTTCACCCTACCCAGTCCTTAATTCTGAATATGATGATCTAACTAATGATAAAAAGCACACCCAATTCAAGTCGCCTGGAACTCCCGGAACTCGAACACCGTCCGCTCACGCACGGTGTCTGCTGCCGTGTACAATATGTGCGTGCAAGCATCTGGGATTATTGCCTCAAATATTTACCGGAAAGGTATGTCTTTTTTCCCTTCCATTCTATTACGGTATCCAATCTGACTGGGGATAGACGATGCGCCCCGCTATAAGAGGGGAAACCGTGTTCTTGTTGGCTTGGTGGTTTCGAATATTTTTATCTATATGTTTACCAAGGCGTACTATGTTTGGCGTAATGCTAGTCGGGATAGGAAATGGGATGCTATGTCGGAGGAGGAGAAGAGGGTTTATTTGGCTACGACTAAGGATGAGGGAAATAAGCGGTTGGATTTTAGGTTTGCACATTAGTATATTCCAAGATGGATGGATATGCCAGGTATTTGTGGGGGGTTATAGGGGGGATTGGGGGTGTGCTGATGTAAGGGGCCCATGGAGAGCTTTACACGTTGCTTTAGTGATTATATTATAATGCAAGATTGTATACGATTTAATAGTGATATTGAAAGTCTGTATAGTTTGTTAATTTCAGCGAGAACACAAGCATAATACAGAATGTAGTTTTTATGTATTGCTGACTATCCTTAGTACTAATATCCAGAAAAGACCCTTATACTGATTTATTCATTATCATACTTAAACTACCCCAGACATCGGATACAAAGATTCCCCTAATCCAAGCTTATGCCCAATTATACGTTTTAAACTACATATCCACGCGCTAATGCAAACGAAGAACGACGATCCTGCATGATGCTATTCAACATCCGGCTGATGTGCTTAACCGCCAAGCACTCGCTTACACTAACCCGACACGAGAAAGGAATGACCATGAGGCCGAGATCGCAGCCTGCGTCTAGAATACTTAGCTCTTCCTCCTGTATGCCGCTTATATAACTTTACCGTTATCAGTAACTATATGATTGGTAGTGACTAGGTGGCGTAACCAACGTGTCAAATGACTCCATCGCTGTCCGGTTTATGACCGTGCTTACTGTCCTATACACTCAGTTTACTCCCAGAGATCAACACGAGATGGCGAGATATTGCATGATCCGCGGACGGTATTGTGAATCTCTTGAGAAACAGTCTTACCGATGCATTTGAGCGATGTCAATGGTTCTTTTGGGGTTTGTCTGGAACAGATGGTGATGTTTAGGATGCGGGGTTCGGGAAAGCGGCATAGTTGAGATGTCACCATCATGGCGACATGGGATGTATAAAGAGGCAGGTTGTCGTAGCATATCTGTATTCTCATAGATGTAGATTCTATGAGACAAACGAAGTTCAAAAGACACTGAATATCATTATCAAATGGCTCCCTCCGTCGCTGACAGCACCACAACTCCGGTGGTCCCCATTGTGGAAGGAAATGTATCAGCAGCAAAGACCCTCCAAAAGGAGCCCTTGAAGCTTAGCGGGGTTCTCGACTCCTTTGATTCCTTCGATGTTACTCCTGTCATTGGCCGGGAGTTCCCAACGGCTAACTTGGCTGAGTGGCTGCGGGCTCCCAATTCTGATGAGCTGCTCCGCGATCTTGCTATAACCAGTAAGGATATACTAGTGTCGTATCGGTGGGGCTATTGCTAAGTGATTGTCATTAGTCTCCCAACGCGGAGTCGTGTTCTTTCGCAAACAGGATGGACTAGACGATGATCTGCAGAAAGAGCTAATCCAGCGACTGGGGCTTCTTGCCGGCAAGCCCAGTACATCTGGTCTTCATGTGCACCCTATTCATAATGCGGGACGCGAGCACAATGTCAAAGATAACGAGATCAGCGTCATCACGTCTAAGAACCATGACCAGCTGTACAAGGGACGTTTACATCCGAAGAAGCAAAGCGCTAGAAGAGAATGGCATAGCGATATTACCTTCGAGCCAATTCCCAGTGACTATACTGTTCTCCGATTGACAGAGCTTCCCAAGACTGGCGGTGGTGAGTCAATAATGCCACGAAGCTGAAGCTGTATAGAAGGTTAACCAGTCGGTACAGACACGCTCTGGGCATCCGGCTACGAAGTCTATGATCGCATTTCGAAGCCTTACCAACAGTTCCTGGATGGCTTGACTGCGACATATGCCCAGCCTGGGTTCAACAGGGTTGCTAAGGAAAATGACTTCGAGATTTTTACTGGACCTCGGGGGGCTCCAGAGAATGTTGGTGATGAATTGAAGGCCATTCACCCTGTTATTCGGACGAATCCAGTAACCGGGTGGAAGAGCGTCTTCGCCGTGGGCGCTCACGTTGCGAAAGTCAATGACCTTTCTGAGGAAGAAAGTGACCATTTGCTGAAATGGTTTGTCTCGTTGATCGTTGAGAACCATGATCTTCAAGTTCGTCTAAGATGGGAGAATCCCAATGACTTAGGTAAGTAAACCACCCCTTGTTCCGCAGCGCAGGGAGAGAAGTATTTTATCTGACGTGGTGCCATTATACAGCTATCTGGGATAACCGCAGTGTCTATCACGCCGCGACGTATGACTACAAGGAGAAGGGTTTTGGTCCACGGACGGGGCATCGGGTTGTTGGTCTAGGAGAGCGGCCTTACTATGACCCAAAGAGCACAAGTCGGCGTGAAGCCTTGGAGGCTGAATCGGAATAGATAGATTAGCCTGCTGCGTAGGGTAAGCAACTATAAGGAGCGTTGTCATTGTTTAAAGCTTATTCGGACGAACGACAAATACAATCAAGTCTTGATCATATATGCCGCATTAATCTTGCCTGACCTTGTTGCTAGTAACATTGATAAAGCAAACAACCTGCGTTGATCAAGTCAGGTGTCAGTGTAGCCCTGTGGCCAAGTGTATTCTTGTTTCTTACTTTTAAACTTCTTTATAGTCCGGTTGGTACGATAACATGAGATACACCTTCCTGGAGGTAGGTGTATCCAAGGTATGCTCGCCGGCAATGATAATTGGCGTAGTCCCGAAGCACATTTCATGGGTGAGCTCAATAAACCAACCGATATGTTATCCTTTGCCATTGTAGTAAGTATTTCAATCTCATGAGGAAATGGTGCATTAATAAGTGTTACTAGTGTATTTATGCAATTTTTGGGTGCGTTATCTTTAGTCCCGACGACGATTTTCGCAAACACGAGGCGCACTGCCTACTCTGATTCGCCTGCAACGTCTGGTTTCATACTTCAGCGATCAGGAGGGGCTCAGCCGGCTCATGAAACATATTGGTGATGATGAGACCAGCTGCCATGTATTCCAAATGCTCCGGGAAGAAAGACAGGAGGAACACATCCCAAACAAATCATTTAGTGAATGACCGGATGTGACGGATTCAGTATTCAAGGATTTCATCCTGGGGTTGATAAGCCTAGACCCTCAGAAACGCCTCACTGCACGTCAGACGTTGGATCATCCTTTGGCTAGCGGATTTTTGATGGCATGTATCTTTTGTTCGAAAAGCTAGTTTGCTAGACCAAGACAATTTTCCCGAACAGAGCTTCTGAGCAACCACGATAGATCGACAAGGTGGCAGCCGGGGAAGGTTTCTCTTGTATTGTGGCTCATACGATGATGACTTTCGCCAAGGTTACCAAGCCTCAACAGATCATCTCTATGCCAACAGTGTCCGAAAGGACACAGGTCGTCGTGAAGTCTTGGAAGCTGAATCGGCATAGATAGACTTACGAGATGCACTTTGTAAACAAATATAGCAACGTTGTCATTTTTCCAAGGTGCCTCAGACTTGATACGAAAGACTATACTTCTCAATGAGAACGTCTGCACATGTTGCTCCCACAAGATAGGCAGTTACCTGCGTGTGATTGTTTGTCAGGACAGGTACCACACTCATGTCAGCCACTCGCAGTCCCTCTACATTCCGGACTCGGAATGAGCTGTCCACAGCTGCGTCTGGATCTTCTGACCTCCCCATCTTTACAGTCCCAGTCATGTGCCAGGTTGAACTGACAAATTGCTTCCAAAATTCAAGGATCGCCTCATCACTGTCCCCCTCTGGTCGAATCAAGTCCCCTATGGTATCCTTAGAGAAGGATGGGTGGGTGCTCAGTTTCAGAAGATCACGATAGCTTTCAATCGCGACACGGCGATCGTACGGATGGGACAGAAACTTAGGGTTGAACAAAAGAGGCACCGTCGGGTCGGCAGACTGTAATTTCACCTCGCCACGGCTTTGAGGGTTCATCAAGAAGGCCACAAGACATACATAGCTAAAGTCCTCTGAGACTCCTGGAATCAGCAGGTGGAAAGGGAAATGCGAAACTAGTTCATAATGGGGAACCGTCTCGCCCTTGAGGAATTCTTGCTCAGTCAGTGGAAGCTGCTTGAACTCGGGAGAGTCTATGACCGAGGAGGATTTCACCCAGCCACCCACGGTCTGGCAACCAAAAATGGACCATGGCCCGGTCCCGTCATTCTTCCAGGTCTCCAGGGCTTCCTGCGATGCGGTTGGCTCTCCATAGAATGAATGTCGGTCGTTGCTTTCTTTGTTTCGTCTAAATGCAAGTGGAACATGGCAGTGATCCTTCAGGTTCTGACCAATGGCAGGAAGGTCACAGATTATAGGAATCCCATGTTTGTCCAACTGCGACCTCGGTCCAATACCGGAAAGCATTAATAGCTTCGGTGTGTCGAGGCTACCTGCAGAGAGAATAACCTCTTTGGCAGCAAAGTCTGGAGAGAATAACGATGTTAGTCCACTGTCGAACAATACGAATAAGGTACAACCATGAATTACTTACAACGAGTCCCTGTAGCTTCAACACCGATGACACGCTTCCCTTCGAAAACGAGTCGCTCAACTGAGCACTCGGTTATAATGGTGAGATTGTCGCTACTACTTTGGAGCAAAGTGGCTGCGGTCGTTCGTCGACCTTGGTAGGAAGAATTGATCACGGGCCCTATGCCTAATGGATTTCCGCTGTTAAGGTCCCGGGTCACTGGAAAGCCGGCATCACGAAAAATATCCAACATTGGCACAATATCCCGTTCCCATGTTTTGGGATATCCTACCTTGAGTGGCCCGTGTTGGCCGTGGTCTTCGCGCCGAGGAGCGACGTAGTCACCGTACCTGGCCTCAGTGTCCTCTGTCTGGAATGACTCGAGGGTTTTGAATCGCGCTTGCATATGTGCCCAATCAAAGCGAGGATCATCGACGAGGTCCGCCCAGCGATCGTAGTCTCCGCGGCATCCAACAGTCCAGAAGCCAAAGTTTATGGCAGTACTACCTCCCAAACCCCGTCCCCGACTATAATCCAGTTGGCGGCCGTTGCAGTGTTCCTGCGACACCGTGCTGTAACCCCAATTCATCCCCGGTTGCTGTAGCGTGATCCATCTCTGCCCATCGACCAAGAGATCTTCCGAGTCATTGTACTTTCCAGCTTCTAATAGAAGAACCCTGGGCTTCTCCGAACAGGATGCAAGTCGTGACGCAATGATACATCCTGCAGGACCGCCTGTGAGGATGTAAGCGTGAGCCCCGCAGCTTGCAGCTACAAGAACTCTGAGCACGAACCTCCAACTATAATAAAATCAAACTTTTTAGCATCATCGCCCATGGTTGCATTCATTAAGCCACTGGAAATAAGAATAGGATAGAGTCGATAGTATCAACTAGTCCCGGGGTTGTTAAGAAGAAGTAATTTGTGATATGAAGAACACGAGCAGACTCAGTTTCTATTCGCGGTTCATTAAATGATGCACCAATGACCACATCCATTCGGGCTCACCCTGTAAGACGAACCAACAGCGTTTCAATCGAGAGCCAATAAGCGAGCATGGTTAAAGCCTTTAGGGGCTCGGGCGTCAGCAGAGAAAATAATTTGATCTACCCAATGGGCCTCGTGCTCTAGATCAGTGCCAAGTGGGACATTTCCACCTAATGAAATTGTACGCTTGACTACTGACAGCTCAGTACAAACGGAGTAGCATGGACACTGAACTGCTCTAGTGGAGTGAGAAATGAAGATATGCCGCAGAAGAATCGTGGGGGCTGTGACATCAACATTTATTCATAGGCAACAAAGTCACTGCTCCGGATTGAGCTAGATTGTTCCGTAAAACCTAAAGTACTATTTCCAAGTTAGCGTCCAACGCAGCAGCTCTCATCTCTGAGAGATCAGGGTAAGATTACCAGAATATTGAGATGTATTCGCCGTGAAGTGACCCACTGTGAGGTTATTCAAGTGCTGTGGGAGGGAGACCGATGTGGATTTGTATAGACCATTCTGGAAGCTGGTCGGTGGTCTCCTAGTAGGATCCCAAGGAATTTATTCCGGATTTGACCAGTAGTACGTCAGGCTTTGACGCATCTTTGTCGGCGCATGGCACGTGCTGGACCAGAGAAATTGGCTCAGAACAAATGCCGAAGCCAAGACCGCCAAGATGGTCCACAGTGGGACTCAGTGAATGTTCAGTGCAACACATGCGGAAATCCTTTCCTCTCTTGTGTTTGCAGTGATCGTCCGACGATCTACATATGTCGTAGAGTTGTGGCTAGACTGATAAGATTCGACAGTCATCCGAGAGCAAGATAGTTTAAATCTCTCACAAGGTTGTAATCAATAGCAGGCTCCCTATATACAATGTCTCACGGTGTTCATCACGAATAACCACAAATACCCCAAGCGCTGATATAATACTCATATACAGAAAATGATAACATGGGAAATGAAGGTAAGAATAGTAAAAGCCAAAAGCTCAGGCTCCGAGTACCATAAAGGCAACCAAACCACCCCATACACCAACAAATGCAATCGTGACAATACTAGCTCCCGCCTTGTCACCGGTCGTGATCGGGTTTAACTGGCTCTTATCGGAGCTGCTGCCATCGTTGCTACCCGCGTTCGGGTTGCTGGTACTGTTTCCGCCTGTCGACGAGGTCAAGGGGCCACTCCATTTCTTTTCCGTGACCAAGACCGAACTCAGCACGTCGGTGGCGCTGATCTGCTCTTCCATACCAACCCAGCCATCCCACTTCGATTCGTGCCAGCGCACCCCGCAGGTGTTGTTGCTCATCCCGCTGCACGACGCGGCAGCACCTTGCGCGGACGCTTGCAACTTAGGGAGAATCTGGTCATAAGTTGACGGGACCAGCAAGGCAACGAAAGCAAGCCACCCGGTGACAAGGCCCTTGAACAGGATTTCATTGTCATTGCAAACCTCGTTCGGCTCGCAGAGAACCTCGGACATAATATAATTAAAGGATTTCGGGAAGAATGTGTTCAGTGTAACTCCCAAAAGGCCGTCAACTGCTGTCTTCCATGTCTCCTTCTCGGTCTGAAGTACAGCTATTAGCTTGGGAGTCTAGAAAGCAATCTCAAAAGTTCCCACAGAAAGAAGTGGACCCTTACCATGTTATACATGTACGCCGCACCGATTAAGTACGTGCCATAATTGTACGACCATTGGTTGTTTCCCTGGGATTTACATCCGCCTGCTATATCGGTGGAGTCCGCGACATTCCATGTCTTATTATTTAGCAGCGGCGAAGACGCACTCCAATCCCAAACCTTTTCAGCCCATTCCGTATATGTCTGGTTGTTGGTATACCGAGCGAGACGTGCTGCCAGCTGGAACAACAGCCCGTTCGAAATCGAGTTCTTCATGGCGTAGCCAGCTTGATATGGGAAGATCTGCCAGCGCAGTCCACCACCACAATTGCTGCTATCCCACCGAGCCACTTGCGTGTTGAAAACGCCCTGCGCGAGGGACAGCCACGAGTATCCGTTGTCAACGTCGGGGAAACCGATTTCGGCAGCTGTCATGGCGGCAATCCCCCAAAAGCCTTGGTCGTCGTTACCCTGGATCACTGGTCAGAAAGGCCGGATTGGATGGGGTTGACTTTCCATACCAAGTAGCTACTATAATTGGCTGGCATGTAGTCCCCATTGCCAGCCTGCCACTCCATACCCTGACTGACTTCAGCATTGTAGGTGGTATCGCCAGTATAATGCCAATAATACAGCAAGCTTAAGAACAAAGCACTGCCTTCCCACCACTTGTCTGGAAACGCTCCCGGAATCTGACCCGTTTCATTGCCGGAGTACCATAACATCGAACCGTAGGCGGTCTGGCTGGCTGCACTTTTGATGGAGTCTGTGATAGACAAGGAGTATCCGTTAGTATTCCACACACAGTCCTTCACAATCTTGCAGTGACGTACCTGCATCATTGATATCAATACTCAGTGCCTCGACGACACGACCAATCCCTGCGAGGAAAAGAATGGCCCCATGAAGCCCACCGCGGGGCACACGCATCTTCGAATAACGTCCGAGTACGCAGCGCGACAACGAGCCGGCTGACCTAGAATCTGGGGTGATGCGAGGATGTCGTCGTCCGGTGGGCTCTAGGTGGGAAAGGTTTGGAAAACGGACCGGAGCAAAACAGTCGGCAACATCGGCACCATTTCTTTTATTAGCTACCACCAACTAGGCCCGTGCTGCTGCGAATAAATCTCGCGGATTGGGACGCCTACAGCATCCCCCCTAATAACCCGGCGGCATGATTAGTGGGATTGCGTGTCGGTCCAAACCATAGAGAGTATGGTTCAAATCGTTCGCAGCAATCACCGGTAGTGAATAGTACCAGGCACCGGCGAAAAAGTCATTTCTCATACGTATGCAGTGGAGCCGATGGAGCCAATCTTCTCGCTTCTCCGCGGTAGTGGCCAACCAAGCTTTTGCCCAGGAGGCGCGGCGCGAAATCAAGACTCGGAGACTCGGAAGCGGATCATTAAAACTTCTTACATCAGCCAGTCGAGAACACACAGGTCTAACACAAGATGTCTGGCTCATGGCTCATGGCTCATGGCTCATGGCTCATGGTTCATGACATGTCAAGGGGCTTTCGTTTGGATCAAAGATATCCAGAACCCATCGGAATCTGAGCATTTGGCGTCCGACCTCACGTGACAGGAGCCCCTGAAAGAACTGATACTTTTCGGCATTCCTTTTCCATCCCCACTTCCGCAGACTAGAGTTGAATAGCCACCAGATGATTCGGCATAGTTTGTCTCGTAGATCAATCCCGGGGTATCATAGAGAACTAAGGTAGATAGACTAGTTAATTTACCACAACTGTTCAACCGTTGAGGATCCGAAAAAGTTGATCCCTATGTCAAGACAAATCTAATTAGAGTAATATGTTCATGCGTCAGGAGTTTCATTAGCGAAGGTGGATAAAGGGCACATACGGAGTACTACGGGAGACCAGCTCAACCAAACGCGTCGTTCGCTTCTGTTATCCACATCCAGGCTTAAGTCCGAGCATAACGCCGAGCGGATACTGAGTATCTACAGAGTATAGTACATACAAAAAGGTTGGTGCCGGGCCGTGGTACAAACTTGGTAGAAATATAATTTCCTATGGTAACTCACACGGTTACGGCAAGCCAATGCCACCAATCCGCATCAATTCATTTTTCTATAATTTTTGGTCGGGTAGCCTGAATACCTGGATGACTGCCTTTTTGACCGCCTCTTTTACTAAGTACCCCCTGTATCTAGCTAGGAGAAAGTTGGTGTTGGCTGTGTGTACATATATAAAGTACTCGGCCGTCAACGACTCGGGAGGAGCCAGGACCAAGGCTATATTCGAGTATAATGCATACTATTACTACTGCTACTCATGGAGGATGCCGGTCCCCGATACGTGACTCTTCGCGTTATTTAGGTAAGGAGCATAACCAGTCCAGTCGCCACTTCCCACACAACTTAGTCTGTCATTCGGTCCTTATAAACATGGCTGATACAACCCCCCATGAAACACATTTCTTGCCTTTGTTGAGGAGCGAGTGGATGTAGAGACGATATTACTATTCACAAGTTACTACCCACCTTCCCTATTCGTACCTATATATGTGTGCATATGAAAATTCATGATTCACTATTCTTAACTGCATGAAACCTACTTCACAATAATTATCATGGCTGGAGGTGCCACTATCCTCAGCCTCCTCCCAAGCCTATTATGTACCCTACCCATGGAATTGTTTTATATCATCGTGGACTACCTTGATACAGAAGATATAGGGATCCTCACTAGAACCTCAGTACAACTGTGGGAAATTCTTGAGGCTGTTCTATACCGTCGTGGAGAAGATAAAATCCCCAGCAATGGCGGAAGGCCCTTGACTGGGCAGCGCACCGTGGTAGCCTGGGTACCATCAAGAAATTCTTGAAGTTTGCGCGACCAAAAGCTCCATTAGATGCGTTAGTACATCTTGCACTTGAAAGGGCGGCCTCAGCTGGTCATGAGGAAATAGTCCTCTTTCTTTTGCACATGGAGGTTAACCCGACTCTACATCTCCACCAGATGGACTTTACGAAAAGAAACCCTTCAGTACTACTGCACGCTATAGCTGCGCGACATACTCGCATTGTTCAGATACTTTTAGAGGCCAAGGCTGATGTTCACACGCCGAAAAAGCTGGTAGACGCTGCAGACATGCTAGCGGGTACTGTCGATGATACTCAAAACTCTACTGACTTGACAATCACTAGGCTGCTAATCAAACAAGGGTTCAATGTGAGGGTCACGGATGAATGAGGCTCTACGTTACTTCATTATATTACCGATCGCGGGTACGCGACGCTTGTTGCCCTCCTCATCGAACTAACCCTCGAGGTCAACTATCAAGATGCCGATGGGAGAACGCCCTTGTATTGCGCAACTAGCAAAGGGAGGCTCAATATCATGGACATTCTGCTAAGGGCAGGCGCAAACCCTGAGATATGCGATCATAATGGAGTCTCCCCAATGCATCTTGCCGCTTCACATACTACTCCTGGCTGCGCGAAGACCTTATTAGCGCACGGTGCCAATGTCAACGTGAGGTCAGCGACTGGAAGCACTCCACTACATGTAGCAACTGGCCACCCTCACAGGGCCCTGAGCCTCGTCAAAACCCTGGTCAACGCTGGTGCGTTAGTCCCATGCCAGGACAGTTACGGTCGAGCACCACTCCTTCTTGCGGTGTGGGGAGGAAATTCAAGGGCTGTCATGTTCCTGATTCAAAGGGGTGCTCTGGAGTACCCTTCCTTGTGGTCGCCCGAGCTCTTTTTTTGGGCCTGCCAGAGGGGGTACGAGGAGGTTGTGAAGCACCTGTTGAATGCAGGAATGGATATAGACTCGTTGAGGGACCATAACGGCCGCACACCATTAATGGCTGCTATCTGCTCTAGAAATACTAGGGTTTTCTTGCTGATGTTCAGCAGGATATGGGATGTGGATGAGAGGGATCACGAGGGTCGAACGGCATTGTTCATGGCTGCAAACATTGGCAATGCGCAGATAGTCCACTTGTTACTGAGCCGGGCCAGATGGATAGATTATTCAGACGGACATGGTGTGACACCATTAATGGCAGCCATTCAAAGTCGGAATACGAAGGTTTTCTATCGATTATTGGTCAGTTGTAAGGAATACGATCAAATTGACGAGACAGGGAGGACCGCTCTTCACCATGCTGTGGATGTGCATAATATTCCTGCCGCTGCGAAATTGCTGCACAAGAGTAGAGCATTGAACCTGCCAGATAAGTTTGGCTGCACCCCACTCTTGATAGCCGCACGTCATGGATGGGTCTCAATAGCAGCGCTGCTTCTGCAGAAAAGTGATATCAATGTGAAAGTGAAAGATTCCGAGGGCTGTAGTCCACTGACATGGGCCGTCACGAATCGCGCTAGTACCATGGTATCTCTCCTACTGGAGCACGGGGCCAAGATTGAAGAGGACTTCGATATCTTGCATCCTCGGTATCCACCTTTGCTGATCCAGGCTAGCGCAAGCGGACACTTAGATATTGTCTGCAGGCTTCTTCAGTATGGTGCGAGAACTGAAGTTCAAGATTCATCGCGCCATACTCCGCTAATACATGCGGCACGTTCGGGATACACAGGAATTATCGATATGCTTCTAAAAAAGAATGCTAACTTCCAAGCATGTGACAACAACCTCCGCAATGTGCTATTTTACGCTGCCCTGTGCGGCCAAGGAAAGGTTGTGGACATGCTCTTGGAAAGAGGTGCCAGCATAGAGATCACTGATATTGAAGGGCGGACACCTCTCACAGCGGCCGCAAGAAATGGACATGCACAGGTTGTCCAAAAGCTCCTAGAGAAGGGCGCTTGTCCTGAGCCCGAAGATTGCCACGGTAAAACTCCTTTACTGCTTGCTGCTATGAAGGGGTACTCAAAGACAATCGCAACTCTGATACCATACGGCGTAAATGTTAATAAAGTCGACTCTAATCACCGATCAGCCTTATCATTAGCTGCAGACCGCGGATATACTGCTCTAATTAGGCTGCTGCTTCGCCAACCCGGCATCGAAGTTGACCATCCAGATCTCACGGGGCGAACGCCTTTGGCTTGGGCGGTACGAGCGGGCAATGCTCCGGCCGTTCAACTGTTAGTTGAAGGGGGAGCAGATATGGCTAAAAGCGATAAAAGTGGACGAACACCCCTGTCATGGGCGCTGGAGTATGGGCACAAAAAGGTCATCAAGTACCTTGTCAAGATATATCCGCCAAGGCCTGCTTTGGGTTAGAACCAGACATCTGGTATTGATTATTTGATTAACTAGTTAGGAGTAAAGTCATCCGTACATTATATTTATCACACATGCGAGTTAGCTAGAGTGCTCAATCTGTTGAGGATTGAAATAGGGACCTAACAGAAATAAGATGTGTCCACTTGATTCTCACCTTCAGATTAGATACATATACGAGCAGGACGAGTATTTATAGGTTGCTAGACCGATTACACTTTTGGGTTTGGACTTGGCCAATTCCTCCTTGTGAAGTAAAGCTCCATAAACCCGTTTCCACATCCCTCTTCCCTTGCTGCCGTCCTGATTATGCTATGTGTAATGTGACTCCATCGCCTCTGCGGTCAAATTTAATGCCGAATATACTTCACCGGACGCGCCGCCAATTGCACCCGGGTCGTTGATAGCAATCAACAGCAAATTAGTGCGGCAATACACGTCAAATCTTTCCCAGGTACGATTCGATACGCCAGTTACTCACTAGCAAGATGCAGGAAACAGCGATACTGATCTATGTCCGTATGAACATAGTAAATGACGGTGATAAATAAACACATGGCCTATTGTCGCCCACACGATCCAGAATCACCATCGCATGTTCTGGTTTCCGTTTCGAGTGGGCTCGACAATGACGTGATTTATGATTCTATATTCATTGTGCAGGCCACAATGAGTAATCGAGTTAAGCAATACCCAGCTAATAAGACTTACTATTAGCTGTAGGTGAGACTACAGCTCACCTCCCTTCATCCGTATCGAAAGCGAGTTGATCTCTGTCGGCCATGGCACACCGAGTATTTCGATATGCGATGCAATATAGGAAGAAGAGCGCGACAGGGGCCGGTGGCGCATTATCGATTGAACTCTGCGAACCACAGAAGGAGGATGATAATCAAGAACATACTGGCTTGGCCTACCGCGGGGAGTAGCACGAGGTCTCGACAACCGCACTCCTCGACGAGGGGCACTGCTGATAATGGGTACACTATCGATTAAGAAATTCATCTGATTAGCAAACCTGAGGAAATGACAAAGGGTTTCCCCTTTCCCTACATCCGCGGATAGAGCCTTCCATGTCTAGACAGTCTGTGGAGAATAAGGTGTTGCGGAATTTCTCTGACTATCTGCATATCTCCACGCAATTCAATCCCGAAAGTGGGTTGAAGATCAGAATATTGCACTCGTGACAGGCGGAAAAAAGTCTTCCTATTCGGATACAGAATGGCCATAATCCTACAAAGGCCTAGGGCATAGCCGCAATAGTCGACAATCAGCGGTCAGAGCATCAAGTATTTATCATTGTTATGTTATTCTGAAACCTCGTAAACAGCGACTTTATTTCAAGTCGTCGTGGGGTACTTCACATGAGCACTTCTTCTTATCAACAAGCTCGATGACTCCGTGGTCTTCCAACAGTTTCAAGCCACCCTCGTAGTAAAACTGCAAACCATAACCTGGTTGCCCAAAGTAAGGTGCGATTGGCCCACCCGTGACGTTAAAGCTTGTGACGACCCTCCATACCCAGTAGTTGTACTCCGGACTGTTGGGATACTTGTTCAAGTTGCTTGGCGGAATGGATCTCCAAGCGAAAGGAGTTCCCCTTGGTGCTAAGTAGCCTCCATATTGAGTTCCGAACCGATCAAGCTCCATTCCTTCCTCAAGGGTGTATTCCGTCGTAACAGGGACGCCAACCGAGTCCAACAGCGCACCGTCTTTCTCGGGATAATCGTATTGCTTGCCACTAGGCGCAAATTCTAGGAGGAAGTCCTTTGGGCAGTAATTCCCAAGAGGATTATATCCGTGGAACATCTCAGACCACTCGGGGTCTTCCGCTGCCGTAAGGACCTTAGGCCCCAGGAATTTGTTATTGCACAGGGCATCGGGGGTGCCGGTGCTAGGAACGCCTTTGCAAGGAGTTCTACCGCATCTTCTCCCAAGAGAAGACTAGCAAGGTCAGTGTCTCAGCTATGAAAGCTATAAGCACGCGTGATTTCTGGTGGGAGTACCTCGACTGTGTGGGCAGAATCTTCAAGCGGCAATGATAAAGCTCCAAATGGGAGCAAAAGTAGTGCTAGCGATGCATACATCTTGTTGGAGTTTGAGTATTCACGGGGGTACGACCACAACAGTGAAAAACAAAGGGTGTTCTCAGGTCTGGCGGTGGACGCCCGACAGATTTATAACCCACGACCATGCGAGTTCAGCCAATGCCTCGCCCCTAGTGGGACTGGGCATCGTGTAAGTTGTTCCATGCAAGGCAAGGAGTCGCCTGAACGATAAAGCCCTGTCAAGCTGTCTCGACTCTCCCCCACACGTGTTCTGGATGCCATCCTAAGAGCCGAAGTTCATTGGATCAATGAATGGAACCATACGCGACTAAGGGTCTCCGGTTGTGCCGGCCCATGCGACTTCTCCAATCAACATTTTCACGTCTCCAAGCGGAGTTGGGCGCACGAACACGATGAGCAGCTCAGAATCAATAGTTCTGCAGCCAAGACTACTGATCAGCGAACCGCCAAGGGCAAAGATCCGGCCCAGCCCTGCCAAGCAAATCGTAAGACGTGTCGACACTCGTCGGTTTTCTAACCCCAGGGATAACTCAGCTTCGACATGAAGAGAATCCTGTGATAAGCGGTATACATAGCTGTCTGGTTGTCTTGTTGTCTTATTGCGATGTCAACCCTCAGTTTCTCAGTCGAGATAGAGAAAACCTGCCGATCACCAGGGTCTTCCCGAAAAAATCTCGAAGTGGATCCGTAAGCTCGATTTCCGGGTCTCCACAGTTCAGCTTTCCCTCATTTTTGCTTTTTTGGGTTCGTTTATCTTCATTTCCCGCCAAACAGTGGAGATGCCAATCCAATATTTGTCCACTATTTCTCACACCGCTTGTAAACCTGCAGATTCTGTCGACAGTCACTCGATCTGTCGATGCCCCTTTTCGGCTGGTACTTGTTTGTATTTCTCTTAAGCTGGTATCATGACAGTTGGACAAGGTAAACTTTATCTACTCAGTAACGTTTTGTCTTTTCTTCCTGTCCAGTCTTTATTATTGATACCATAACATCAAAGCTGAAAATTAGACTTTCCCAGAAGGTCAAAGTGCATTTTTCGTGGTTCCATACACTCCACCCACGGCAATTGTCCGGGATAATTGAACTCCCCCAGAGTCCTACGGATTTTATAGCCGGGCACGGAGTACTAGAATCATAGACAACGCGACTACTGACTACTGACATGAAAGGGGAAATTTTATCAAAGATGGAACCTACTTAACGGGACAAGATCGGCGATTACCAAGCCTACAGATGCGATAAGTATCCCGACGGATCTCAAATCCCCTCCAATCCCCTCCAATCCGTAAGCAAGCAATACCTTGGAAATTGGGGAATAGAACAGAAGCACTCCGTCTACGGAGTATACCCTGCATTCTTTAAATATATCAAGCTAAATTCGAACTGTCGCAAACTGTCAGAATGCAGGCACAACATTTCCATCACACTGGACGGAGAATGGGTGGAGTCACTCCGTGGATCGTCGTACCTCCTCAGCTGCTACGTATCACACAAATTACGGAGTATGCAGCCCACCTATGACAGTCCACAGTCGTAGTCAGAGCTTCGTATGAGTAATCAGAACGTATCTGCACTTCTCATATGCTCATGACCTACATGATGATCATTATCATAGCTACTATAACTAGCTAACCTTCATTGCCAACAAAAGTTGGCCTTGATGTATGCCAGTGGCTAACATATGCACGCTAATTGGACAATATGTTCTATTAGTCCCTCATACGGAGATATAGTGCTGGCGCTTAGGACCTGCGGGGCACGGAGATGAATGTGTCCTGCATGTACAATATGTGATCTTTTTTTGTAAGGTGGATCCGTGGTTGCAAAGTAAGATATAATACTAATTTTCAAATGGTTACCTATTGAATTACGCTAAGCCTGATAACTCTACGTAAACAAAGTAGCTCCTGAGCGAGATTTACCAGGCTTCCTACTAGTATAGAGATTAGCTACACGGTCAACAATGTCGTGAGGAAGACATCGTTACAGGAAGGCTAGACCCATGTGAGCACAATACTTGACACTAACTATAGACATAGGATATGGACTAATCGGTACGCTTTATTGGTGTGTTTCTGTTTATAGCCACTAAGATCAACATGTTTGTTCAATGGAAATTTCAATGTTCCCCAGATACAAGAGAACAAACATGCTTTCATACCTAAATGAAAGTCTAGACATATTTTAAAGATGCATGTTAATTTGCTTATTACTATCAAGTTAGTAAATACATTGAACAAGATATTTTCGAACTTTTCAGAACGCTCTCTTTACGAACTATGTAGCCTATGCATAATTACAACAGCACATATTGAAGGCCACGGATGCTATACACAGAAACCTCTCCATCTTGTTCTACTACCAACCACAAAGATAATGTCACTGGTAAAATGACTTTTGCCGAATCAACGCGGTCCCAACCTCAAAATCATGACCAAAGATGAGTGTAGCCGAGTATAGCCTCTGCAACCGCCGGATAAAATTCGTACTATCCATCCAGCTCTTGTGGTCACGTAGCAGCCACCCCTGCGCATGATTATTCTCGTAGTTCTCCCGCACATGGAACTGGTCCGTGGTCCAGATGAATGTCCCGTCCTGGGGCAAATTGACCTGCATGATACACAGACCCGGCGTATGGCCCGGGCAGAGATGCAGAGTTATCCCCGTACACAGATCTAACTGCGAGTCGTTGAAGGTTTGCCAATTCAGGGACCCGTCTAGTGGGAGATAATCCGGACTAGTGCTTGTCAGTATATTGGGACGTAACAGAGCAGCTATGCAAGAGAGGAATAACGTACAGGTAGGAACCTCCTTCTGCCTTCGTCCCTGCTCCCCAGCATGCATGCTTAAACTCTTCCTCGTGCACGTAAATCGGGACGTCCGTGTTGAGGAAGTGTTCTAGGCCGCCGGCGTGGTCGAGATGCAAATGCCCCATGATGACTGCCTTGACATCTTTAATATCGTACCCGGCTGCTTTGATGGCTGCCGGAAGACGATGGTGGGGCTCATAACGCGTGCGAGGGAAGACGTCCGCACTCGCAGGATTCCATTTCTGTTATAATCCTTAGCATCTTTCCAATTTCTGTCGCACAATCATGCATACAATCTCAATATCTTCCGCACATCCTGTCTCGAACAGAATCAGCCCCATTTCTGGGTGATCAATGAGACCCGCAAGAACCATCAAGTCTCGCCAGTTCCGGGACGGTTGTGGATTGCTGGCAGTGGCCGAGCCCCCTGCCATGAACAGCCTGATTCTATTATTAACCTTCATCGAGTCTAGACGGCCTTGTGTGCTCTCACCATCCCTCCTCACAGCTGAGTGACCCTAAGTCCAGGAGATGCATTTTTGTTCCCTCCGGACAGCTATAGGCGGGGATGGCCGCCTTGGCCAGTTGCCTAGAATTCATCGCGGAGATTGAGTTCTGTTGTACCTGTGCTAACGGGTTGTTGTGGTTTGTATGGTATGTGACTTGGTGTCGATTTAACAGCTTGCTTGGTGCGGGGTAAGTGTCGCTCAATAGCCACAACATTGCGTTTGTTCGACCTCGAGTGGAGTCGTACTTTCTCTTCCTCCCAACCTGATTATGCATGTAACCCTTGTTATCTCCAATCAATTAGTACCTATACGATGTACTGTTGCGAGCACTGTCTTACGACTCAATTCGTTCCCCTTGCCGGGAAAATATTCTAAATCATGTGGTATTTTGTTGGAAACTTCCGGACATTCTGTCTCTGTGGATTTTTCAAGTTTTATATCAGCGGCCATTCTGGGCGAATCATGCACAATTATCAGAAAATTAATATTTATGCTAGCGATACCATTTTTGGCTTAATTAAATATGTAATGTACGCTGAGATGAACAGACTGAAATGCTGTTGGTTCGTGTACATACTCCATCAACTTTAATCGGCCTCCGTCCAGGACCCTGATTAAAATGTTCAGCACAAGGTGATAGCATTGCCGTAATCACTTTTCACTGCCATTGGATGTTTGATACAGCTATGTTGGAGGGTAGAAGACTATGTGCCACAGAAGATCCTTCGCGATTAGATATATCATTGAAGGGACGGCCTTAGCGTACAGCCAGAACAGTGAGATGGGCTATACTACATTTACGCCAAAGCTCCTGACCAACTCAAAGCTTAGAGCCGAAGGTAGAGACTAATGGATCATATCCTGCAGACTTGAAGATAGCCTCGATTTGCCTTCTCCTCACACCAACATTGCCCCCGTCAAATATAGGCAGGCACACAACATCATTGAGCAGCACCCCATATTGAGATTTTGCCTGGTATGCTTGAATACCGACGGCATTCATGCCTTCAATCACACACTGCACGGCATTTTCGGAACAAAATATCTTGGCTAGATACGCAATTTCGGCCGCCTCAGGCAATCTGTCCAAGGAAGAGCAAGCCTTCCAAGTCAATGCTCTACCAGCTTCGCAGCGCATTTTCATCTTGATCAGCAAATCAGCAACACTTTGCTTGTTGATAATTGGCTCTGAGCCGTTCCTCGTGTCCGATTTTGCAAACTGAAGTGTCATCTCACAGCAGCGTCTCATTAATGCTACAGCCATTGCTCCAACTAAGGCCGCCGAAGCAGTGAAAGCCGCTTCAATGACCTCTGCTCCAGTGCCGGGCATTGCGATGGCCTCTTTGGCCACGAAGTTCCGGAATCGGATATGGGGCCCAGACACAGCGCGGTGACCGATAGTCTCGGGGTGAGACACAACCGCATACGCATCGGGGGGATTAGCTGCAATATCGTCTCTCGTCACTAAGAGAATCATCGTTTGCCCTTTGGCATCTGCCGTAGCGTATGGAGCATCTTCACACCGACATGTAACACACTGGATATCAGCACCGCGATCGTCCCACCCAGCACAATTGGTTGCCCATAACTGTTCATCGGCATTAGTGAGTGCTTCCAAACAGATACGTCTCGATTCATCGCGTTACCTTCTCTCCATTAACAACCCACCCATTCTCAACCTTCCTCGCTGTAGTCCTTAGCCCCGTCCTCCCGTAATTAGCCGTCCCTCCCGGCTCAGAATGTACCAAACTCGCCAACGGCATCCCCTTCCTGTCCGTAAATGGACTCAAATATCTTCTCTTCTGCACTTCTGTTCCCCCAATGAGGAGCGGGGATAAACCAAGCCCGGTTGCGAGGATAGTTAACGCCACGCTGGCGTCAGCAGTATACAGCTCCTCGGTTAGGAGTGCCATGTCAACGAGGCCGTACCCCAAGCCGTTGTATTCAGCTGGCACCAGTGCTTGAATCAACCCCACCTTGACGGCTTCCTGGTAGAGAGGCCTGATGGCAGAGAACCTCGCCTGAGGAGTCGGTAGATTTTGGTATACTGTGTGGGCAGCTGCGAGATGCTTTGCCGCGAAGGAGCGCGCATGTTCCCAGACTTTGGCCTGCGTGTCAGATAACTCGAAGTCAATCATTCTGAGAGACAGTTTAGTAGGATGTAGATTTAGTTGAATATGAGATGAATTGTAAGAGGTAAAGAAGGGATTAAATAAGTGCTATCTCAAGAAAGATCCGTAAGAGAGTATCCGTCTGATTTACCGCTGGTGAAGTGGCATCGGGGCTTTTGTGGCTGCATTCATGGACAGCTACTGGTATGTACAAATCGGAATTTGTTCCGTTGGCGCCTTGCTGTCTGTGGAGCATTACTAGTATTAGCCATCGCGCATGAAGTACTCCTAGGGCAGAAAAGACGATACAAAACGATAGACTTGGAAATCATTACTTAAGGAAGAAGAATACAGATCGCATAGCCTGGAGGTTGGTGCTGTTTTCTTCTATGGAAGTAGCGCTCACCATTATTTACAACCGTCTTCGTTGCTTTATAAATCTACCGTTGTTTATCTGTCACGCTATTCTTAGAACTGGACAGAAGACCTGCCCAGTTATCAAGTTCATTGCATTATTACAACAATCATTTCGTAAACAGGACATCTTTGCATATAGGCTATTCAGCCAAACAGCATAGCTAGCCCATGGCCTTTCGGACTTAACTTTCAGGGGTTCTATTTTCCCGCTTCAAAAATGATCTTCTGCGATTTCATCTGGTTGAAATCATCATATCTATAATCTGTCAGTGAACCGTCAGCTATCATGGGTCTGAGACCTACGCCTGAATCGCCTGCGACAAAGGCCGAATATCACCAACCATGAAGCTACAAAACCGTTAGCCATGCCACCATTCAAGCAAAGCCAAGACCTTACCTCAAAGAGTCCTGCTTTCGAATCAGAAACTCCAAAGCATCCTCAAAGATACCTAATCACCAGTCAACATAACTCTACATTTAAAGGGCGGATACATACTGCGAACAGGACACCGTCCCATCTGAATCTGCAGATTCTTCCCGTACGCCTCATTGCCAGTCCAGGGAATCTCCCCATTATGAACCCCAATGCTCGAGATGCGACCCCACGGCCTCAAGTTGTCAAATGCCATACGCAAAGCATCACTATGCCCAACGACTTCAATGGCAACATCTGCCCCTCGACCCTCGGTAAGATCCTTCACGCGCTGCTTCAGACCCTCCGCATCAGTCTGGAAGTTCCACGGCTCGGCCCCCAAACTCTTCGCCAACTCCAGCCGTGACGGGACACTATCAACAGCAATCAAATGCTTAGGCCGATAATCCAGCGCACTGATCAACGCACAAAGTCCCACAGGTCCACAACCAAATAACAAGACCGTGCTTTCTTCAATCGTCGCCTGATCCATCCCCTTGAACGCATTCCTGGCGGCGAAGAACCCTGTTGGAAGGATATCCGCCATCAAGACGAGTTTCTTCTCATCTACGGCCGCGGGGGCCGCGACGAGGGTTGAATCCGCGGACGGAACGCGCGCGTAATCAGCCTGTCCGCCATCCAGCATCACCGAGCCGTAGAGCTTGCCTTTTGCGCAGCGCGAGGAGCATTTCCGGGCACAGTAGAAGCATTCGCCGCAGTTGACGGTGAACGGGGAGACGACGAGGTCGCCGACTTTAAAGCCGCGGACCGCGGAGCCGACTTCGACGATTTCGCCGGTGAATTCATGACCCATTACAAAACCCGTGCCGGACGGTTGGTGGCCGCGGAAAACATGGAGCTCACTGTTGTTATCTTAAGTTTTGGTCCATTTGATAAGGAAATAAATGGGGCCTACCTTCCGCATAGCGCCGTATAGCGTACTTTGACGATAACGTCGGTGGGTTCCTGGATCTGTGGGACGGGCCGCTGCTCTAGAGCGACCTTGAGAGGACCTTGGAAGACTACAGCCTGCATGGTGGACATTTTGTGGTTCGTTGTGTGGTACTAGAGATGTGGTGTTGAAAGTTGGGAGTCTAATGTGAGATGAACTACTTACTCCTCTCGATCACCCCACTTGAGGGGCACAACAGCCTCGGCTGTGACATGCGCATGTTCACTTTGTCACGCCTGTTTGTTTGCAGTGTTTTCCTAGAATCAGATTCCGTCTCATGGTTCGGAGAATATTATATTGCTGGGTTATTGTCTTTCTTAGTGTCCAGACTTTGATTCTTCGATATCCATACCTACTACATGGCATGTATTTTAGCGCCGACCTAATCTCTTTCACTCTTAAGTTTTACATACGTATCTATTTTTTTATTTTTTTTTCTCTTCTTTTTCTTTTCTGCTTTTAGTTCCATACGTAATAATGCTCCCTATACTTTATCAATATACAGTATGCACGCAAAATAAATACTAATAACAAACACGATACCGATAATATAATCCAACCTAGATCAACCTTCAAAATATATATGAACTAACCCACCACGGGCACATATGTACTTAATACACAATTTCTATACACAATTTCTCTCTAGTACAAAATAAGTACAAAAGTCCATTAAACAACAGCTCCAAAATAGAATCAAACCCAGAACCAAATCTTCACTCAAACAGTCTTCGTTCGGACCGGGGTAGATCGGAGATCTACAACATGTGATTGGCCAACGGCCCCTCGCCTCGGCATTAAACAGCTTCATGCGGGGACCTCGATCCGAAAACATAAACCATATAGAGTAACTTTCAATTATTATATCAAAACCACAATCCACTTCTACCTGAACCCAACCTATATCATCTCTCACCTAACTTTGTATAGACAATAACAAATCAATCAACTGAAGGGAAGAAAAGAGAGAAAAGGAGGAAAAAAAAATGTCCCCAACCAACTCCCCCAACCCCATCCCCTTCTCCGAACCCCCCTACCTCCGCAACCTCCCAAGCCCTTACTACACAGAAGGCCATCTGCGGTTCCAAAAAGCCTGCCGTGCATTTTGTTGGGAGAATCTGATCTCGCACGCCGCAGAATGGGAGAAGGATGGCCACGTTCCCGAGCATGTCTTTGAGACCTTCTGCAAGCATAACATGTTGCTGCCGAATCTGCCAGCGCCGTTGCCTGTCGATTGGTTGAAGAGATTGGGGATTCATGATATCTTGGGTGTTAGGGTTGAGGACTGGGATTATCTTTATACGGGCATTTACTGTGATGAGGTTTGTTCTCTTTTTTTCTTTTTTCTTTTTTTGCTTTTCTCTCCTATTGTTGTGGTATATGTGATGGGGAGAAACATTACACTACATTGCCCATTCCATGAAAAATTTCCAATACTGATGAGAAAAACAGATGGCACGATCAGGTCTTGCAGGCCCAGGCACCAGTCTAAGCGCTGGCTTCGCGTTCGGAATCCCGCCCGTCCTCAAATACGCGAGTCGGGAACTGCAAGAGCGCGTGCTGCCTGACATGCTCACCGGCCGGAAGCGCACCTGTATAGCCATTACCGAGCCCGAGGCGGGTAGTGATGTTGCCAATATTACGACCACGGCGACTAAGTCTGCCGATGGGAAGTTTTATATTATTAATGGAGCGAAGAAGTGGTATGTTTCTTTTCCTGTCTTTTCCATTCTTTCCTTTCTGGTTTTATGTGGCTCGTAGTCTGGAAACCAGGGACTAATTGAGAGATAGGATCACAAACGGAATCTGGTCCGACTACACCACAATGGCCGTGCGCACCGGTGGACCCGGCGCCTCGGGCCTGTCCGTGATGGTCGTACCCTTGAAGGGCTATCCCGGGGTGACAATGCGCCAATTTCACGTGTCGGGCTCAAAAACCTCCGGAACAACCTACATCGAACTCGACGACGTCAAAGTGCCCGTAGGAAACCTGATCGGTCGCGAAGGCGACGGCATGCGAACCATTATGACGAACTTCAACCACGAGCGCCTGACCATCTCCGTGCAATGCACGCGACAAGCCCGTGTGGCGCTCTCCGCTGCCTTTGGGTACTGCATGAAGCGGGAGGCGTTTGGGAAGACGCTGATGGATCAGCCGGTTGTCCGACATCGGTTGGCGAAGGCCGGGGCGGAGTTGGAAACGGTGTCAGCGTGGATTGAGCAGATCTTGTATCAGCTGTGTAAGTTAGAGAAGGTAGAGGCGGATCGGTTGCTCGGGGGTGTGACGGCGTTGGCGAAGGCGAAGGCGGCGATGGTGTTGAATGAATGTGCGCAGTGTGCGGTTCTCTTGTTTGGAGGTGCTGGCTTGACGCAGGGCGGACAGGGTGAAATTGTTGAAGGTATGTTCTTTCTTTCTCTCTATTTTTTTTTTTTTTTTTCGCATTATTTGGAGTTGGTTGAGAATGGTTGACTGACTTAAACAGCTATTATGAGGGATGTCCCTGTGGCCAGGATTCCGGGTGGTTCGGAGGATGTTCTGCTGGACTTGTCTGTGAGGCAGCTTGTGAAGATTTACCAGACGCAGGAGAAGAAATTGGGCCAGGCGAAGATTTAAGATGCTTGTATGACTTTTGTATCAGCTATGTTTATGTTATTTGGTATAGTTTCAGGTTATACTTACAGAGATAGCAGCTAGAAGCAAGACGGCAGTAGACAATTGAAGTAGATACACTATATTCACGTTATCTAAACCACAAGATATTGCCTAGTAATGGCATACTACGAATTGTCTACGGCGCGCTTGAAAACAGACCATGCTCATCACAGCGCTTACCAGCTCGACGGCGATTCTTGATAGCAAGATGACGAATATAGTACTTCCTCGGCTTGCACAGTCACGAAAAGAACCATCCTGGTAGTAGAGTAACGCATCGCGCAATCGGGCAGCGATCGACAAGTCGAGTCATCCTGCTCTTGGCCGAGTCCACAGTGTGAATCCACAATACCATGGAAAATACCACGATATGAGTGCGAAGCAGACTGCGACAGCCGTAACTAGCTTCCAATATGGATAGACAAAGGCGTGACGGGATGATTATCGACTACGCTTCAGACGCGTCAAACTGAGCGATTTGTGTCCTCTCGACCGAGAGTTGCGGTACCGATGAAAACCTGCCGAGTCGCATCGCCGAGCATCTATACCCGATGTTTGACCGAAAAGCACGCTGGATCCGCCTGAATTCCACAATATCCTCATTTGACCCGTCGCCGTTACCCAGCGAATACTTCTTGTAATGCATAGCGCGTCCATGAGTGCCGAATTTTGGTCGAATGACTGGGATTGGCTAAGACAGCGACGAAGAAGGCAGTCGCAATGGCCAAGGCAGGATTTCGAAAGGATCGCGAAATATGTTGACCACTGTTTCATCAGACGGAAGGGATCTGCGATTAGTCATGCGAGAAGAAAGGGAGCCAGTCGAAAGTCACATGATCAATGTATTGGTAACATGGAAATGTATAGGTAAAGAAGCTGCAGAGCATTAAGAATGTAAACATCAAGCCATCACGTCGAAGAGATTCGCGTAAGAAAACAAATGAATGATAATTAAGAGCCAAATTCCATCGCTAACACCCACAACACAAGCACTCGACACACTCAATACAGCATTCGCAGGTCTCCTCACAGAGGAAGCAACAGCACATGGCCATAAGACTGTCACTGTTAGTTTTACTTTCTTTATCTGCGCGGATATCAGTAGGTGGTTCTTACCAGGCGGTCAGACAACCACGGTCCTTCTTCTCCTCCTGGGGTGGGGGTTGCTGGTACTGCATCGGCTGGGGAGGAGGATATTGGCCGCCAGGGGGAGGGTAGCTATGCGATGCGTTAGCGGCGATGTTGCCAAACAATAGAAAACCAATGAAACTGAAATGAAAAGAAATAAAAGAACCAAATACTTACTATCCCTGGGGAGGAGGCTGCTGGTAAGGTTGCTGGTAAGACATATTGTATCTAGGGAGGGAACGACGGTTGTATCACGTAGGGAGATGAAGGGAACGGAGGTCAAACCAACGTAAATAAAAAAAAAAAAAAAAAAGAGAGAGAGAGAGAGAGAGAGAGTATGGGGAAAAGTAACGGGTCAGGAGGTTTTTAAGACTTAAGTAACAGTTAACTTCTAAGGCCGGGGACCAGACAAACAGGCAGAACTAATAGCGGTGATTTCAGCCCTGCTGGTAGACGCATCGGTTCTCTTGGCCCTGCAATTGACGCCTGGGGTCCACCTCCGCCAGCACGATTGGGTCTGGCGATGGAATTTTCATTGACAACTAATTATTGAGCGGGTTGGCAGTCCCCCTTGTACGACGGAGTCTTGGCTCTGACCCTTTGTTACTAAGTACGTTCACTATCATCTGGCCAGGGAATGCTGGCGCCTAGTCATTGCACTTGCAATGTGGACCGCGCGAACCATGGGCAACAACGCATCGACTTCTTGTTCATCGGTGAGGCCCTGGGGGTTGGTGTGGCTGAGACGGGCAGAAAAAAACTATGCATGTTCAACTCCAATACTATTTACATATTACTTACATACAGTACATCCTTAACATACCATGAAGACTGCCAAGCGCTACTTATTGACCACTAGAACCTCCCCAAGCCAGCCCCTTAAGGCTGGGACTCCGCTGCCAAGCCCCAATCATGATGACCGACGGCCCTACTTGATCTCCACTGCCCCTGAATCATGATTGGATCAGAATGGTGTTGCCTAATGACAGTTTCATTTTGCTTTCTTCCCCTGTTATGAATGAACACACCGTCATTAACATAACTTGCACTACTACGAGTCAAATCTGTTTCATAAGGTGTGGCTGGAGTCAACTGACAGTGTTCTAGGCGAAAGTGCACATGCCATCCGTACCTATCAATGGTGCAGGACTTTCCTTTTCTGGTACAACGGCGCTAATGAACAGGATCTCACTATCCACATCTATTAATATATTTGGTAGTGCAGGGTTCATGCCTGGTGCGACATCCCAAATTTGTCCGTGTAAGACAAATAATCGAGGCAATCATTGCCCCGCCAATAGCGCGTTGGTTAGGGAGAGGTCCAGAGAAGAGATGCGTAGTAGTATATAGTATACAGTAAGTACGGAGTAATGTATATCAGACTGTCAATACAGAGTACTTTGTAGTAGTCTTGCGAGTCCATCACGTGCCTGTCAAGCCACCCATGTTGGGGGCCAATCGGGTGGAACCAATCCCTAATTCCGCCCACGAGACTTTCAACATTGACGTTATTGTATTCGTGTTTCACATTGAAAAACAGTCGAATCATGTGCAGAACAGGACATACATACCAAAAACTTGACCCGAGGTGTGAGTGCAAGGCATCCCTGATGTCGGCCGGTATGTGTTCTCATGCTGATCGCATTATAAAAACCAATCAGATGCGCGAGACGCATGCAATGCTCCCAACCTGAGAATGCGATCTACAGCGCACAGTTTCGCCAATGTATCTTAAGGTTTATTGTCAATAGCCCTGGCTTCGTAAGAGGTATTGCCGAAACCTAATATGCGAGACAATGACGTTTCTTGAAAACCACCCAGTTGGCCATATATCACAGCAACCCCGAGGGGAGGGGGGAGGGGAGAAGCGGGAATAAAGTACTATACTGACCACCTGGCAGATATCCATAATTCCCAATACTGTAACTCGAAAGGGATACCTTGTCTTCTTTGTAGGCTCAGTGATGGGCACTGAACACTGGACCAGGAATCCCTTAAAGTTACTCACCATGCGACGATATTCTTTATGAATTGGACCGGGCACGTTGCCACGTGCAATTAGTCCTACTAAACCTCCTAGCACGGCCTCGAACTCGATAGCCAAAGCCGGGCACCAATGGAATCTATGCCCATTCTAAACAAGCAATGGGGCTGCTTTGAATTTCTGGCTCTGTGTCACGCCAAGCCAGGTATCCACTGAGCCAAGGGATATATACGCCGGTCATATAGCGTCATAGAATGTATGCAGAGGAGTTCCTTAAGAGACACTACTTGAGCAGAAGGAGACAGTTCTTTGATATTGATATCTGTTACCTATCTCGCCTAAGTTGGTCACTTTGAGTGGTACCCGCAAGAAGTAGTTGGAGAATGACGAGTGAATATTGCGCGAGGCGGGATATCGATTATCATGAGCCTATATAAAGAAGTAGTAAGAAAAAGAAAAGACAAGAGATAGACGCCCAGAAAAGTGAAACAGCTGAATTCCACGTTACAATGATAAAATAGTAGAAACCTCCTTAATGGGAGCGACAGTAGGTCGCAACAATAAATCAGCTTTTGCGTGGACTATGCGAAGAGAAAGCCATGGAAAGGCGGTTCACAACTTAATATTCCTCGGCTCAATCCATGTCAATCTCAATGTCTTCAGGGTTTACACTTACTTGCATGCCTCGTGCAGCAAGCTCCGCATCAAGAGCTTTAAAGACCCTGGTTAGAAATATTTTCTCACCAGGGAGCTCAATGCCCATCCTCATCCCTTTGAACACCGCCGCTTCAAAGCAAGCCCTGGCCAGCTTGGCAATCTGCTCGTTTCCACAATGATAAAAGTGTTTGTAGCGCCTTCTCCAGAACACCCATCTAGCAATACTGAAGCCGCTACATGGAAACTCGGACTTGGGAGCGATGTCTCCTGGTGCAGTTGAATCTTGTACGCTATCACCCGCAGACGGAGGTGGGTAGACATGGTTTGTTGCTGTGAAAGTCGCAAGCTTGAAGCTTTTGTACTTCAACCAGGCAAGACATGCGGGGAGGAGCTCAACAACGGGGACACAAGCATTGCTTGCATTTTCCTCTCCTTCTACCCGCGTCAAGAGTCTCTCCGTTTCAAATGCCTCCTTGAACAGTCACAACGCGCAACGACCAAGCTCAGAAGGATAAACTCCAATAGCACACAGCCTGGCTGTGAGTGCTACCAGGCCCTCCCACTGCGCTGCCGTATATCCCATAGACTCCTTCATCGAGACATCCTGAAACTCCTGCACAAGATAGGGGAGGTCAATCCACAGACGCTGTCCATTAGGTAAAAATACCTCTTCTGGTTCCTCATCGACAGAGGTGTCCTTAGCCTTGCGCGTGACCGGCCCGCACTCTCGAGCCTGCAGAATCAGTGTAACGAGTCGGTCATGTTCGGCACTGTCAGCAGGATGTCTTTTTGCTACGTGGATGAGCTTGTCCCATAGGTCGTGCAAGCCTTCTTCAACAAATGAGAAATCCCACGTATGTTCAATGTATCCCTGACTGAAGTTGAGTATTCTCCATCGGAAGTCTTGCCAGGCCTCACGGGGATTTGCGGGGTCGTATGTAAACGTCTGGCGCTTTTGTTCGCGGGTAAGAATTTGCACGCCGCAATTCCCAGTGGGGCAATCGGCCCTAATTGTGGGATAGAATAGTAATTGAGAGAAGGAAAGGGATAATATTGTGAGGCTGGGGGAGAGGGGTGGTGATAACAGTGAGGGCAGTGGTCGTCGCTGGAGAGCATAAAAAAAACTCCAAGCTGGATGCCTGGTCCTGTGCACTTCGTAGTGACCAATCAAAGCCAGTCTAGCGTATTACAGATGAGGGATTTTTCCGTTGTTATACTGAATGGAGGCCAGTACGTATAAAGGTGCTCTTTGTGCAAGGTATTGAGACAGACATTCTTTCTTTACTGTGTGGACGTGGGAAAGACAACAAATTATACTCATTACATATTGGGAGCATTTCTGTCTATTTCAGGCATGAGAGATAATTTATTGTTTATAACCATATGGTGACAATGAAACGGACATTCATCCGGCTGGTATTATATAATAGTGATACATTCTTTACTTGGTGCAACTTGATCACCACCTTCTATTCACTATTATATTCGATCATTGTTTTCTGGGAGGCTCAGGTCCTGACAGCTATCATAAGAAGTAAACTAGAAGAATTGAGCAAATTAGGAAAGCGAAACACAGAAACTGAGCTCTCACTCGAGATTTCCTACCCCGATCAGTCAAACAATACGTTGAGACGCTACACACAGAACGCCCATCCGCCCACTCACTTATAATGCTACCCCGAGGTCAGGTAAGTGTGACTGGAAGAAACTTGGTTGTTTCGATATTGTGGAATGAATATCGCAGCCATGTTATGAATATGATAAACACGCCGTCCAAGATCTTACACTCTCTTGAAACTGAAACCTCGAAGCTCACATTCTTCGACCTCTTCGGCTAAATCATAAGTTGATTGAGTCTTTTCAGACCAAACACCATCCTCTCGCCTTAAGGATGAAGCTCATCTCGAACATTATCCTCTTCGCAGCTCTCGCTGGTCCTCTTATTGCCACCGCCATCTTCGAGCCAAGAATTTGGTTTACATGCTATAGTTAAATATCGATTTGCTAGAGTATCCATGTTGCAGCTGAAAATGACTGCATGCCCGGGTGATACAAGGTGTGAGTTGGGATCATCTCCGTGGAAATGAATTAGTACATAACTTTTGCTGCTGTTCGTAGACTGAAACCAGAGAAGAAACGGAAAAAAAAAAAA